ATCGCGGACCCGATGATTACTCGACCAAGAACCGTTATGTCCCTGATCGATCGCAGTGAGGAGGTACGTATTCCCTGTCCAACAGGTTGCACAACAAAGCAGGAAGGAGGCGAAGCGATGCAGAAATCGCAAATGCGCAGATGATCCAACTACACCCCTTCGTTTGATTCACGAATAAAGGACCAGACTGGCAGCGTCAACATCAACTCACGACCTTTTTTTCTTTCGTATGACTACGACAAGGTAGGTATGGGGAGAGATAGGCAAAATGAAAGAAAAGAAAAGGCATGAGCATCGCATTTTGAGAGTGCGGCGGTCCATGAATATGGATAGCAACAAGTGGTTCAACGGGGCATTGCCTGTTATCGGTCCTCTTTTCCTTTGGGTTGGGTAGCTTGGGGATGTCAAACCATTGATGCCCTTGCCTTGCCTTGCCGCAGAAACCGAGTTTCTTCATGCACAAGCACGAGGAGGTTCATTCTTTTGATTCGATGGAATGGAACAGAAATGCGCCGCCAGAGTGGAGACGGCGGTGGCATGATAATGCTCTCGTAAAGAGCGGGCAACTCCCACAATCACAGAGCACTTTTGTCCTTTCAGTCCACGATTTTGGGTTGAGGAGGGTTCGTTGGAGCTCCGAAACTGACACAGGTAGTGGAGTATGTGGGTTGTTTGTCAAAAGAGCGACAGGCAACAGAGAGATAGAGTCTCAATTCATCATTCGCTCAAATTATTCCACATGCAAACAAAGAATCCATCCACTGTCGCATGCAAGGGAATACAGCCCACCGGCCAAACTCACAAACCTACTTTTATATTCTGTACATGGCTTGAATACAAACATGTACCTTGTTTTGCACAACCATAGGATTCGTCTACAAACTTGGCCACAAAGAAAGAATAAAAAAAAATAAAAAATGAGAGCGTTTTTCCTCGCTTGTTTGTTTACGTTGAAGTGAGAAGGAAGGAGGAAATAGCCAACTGGCAAAAAGATGCGTAATGAGAAATACTAACAAAAAGCGCACCGTTCAAAACAATAAACATCAAAACAATAAGACAAGGATAATGATGATTGATGAGGAGTAGAAAGTTACCGATATGTTACAAATTCCAAATCACTGTAAGAAAAAAGATTACCGAAGAGCGTTGTTATCGATCGATGCGGGAGAAAGGGGACCAGACGGTTTGAGAAGAACATGCATCCATTCCTTCCTCCTGTCGTTATTTTTTTCAGTAAAAGTCGATGGCAAAAACAAAGGGAGGCTCGAGCGGAGCGAAGAGTTCTTTCCTTTTCACTATCAATTGGGTCCTTCTCGCCTTCGTTTGCAAGATGAACTTGCACTCCTGCTCTCCCTCCTCTCCCTCTCATTCCTGCTTTCTACAGTAATATCTTCTGAAAGTCGATGAAGGAAAATGAAAGTAGGGTTCAGCCTATCCAATTTACTCATCCCAACCCCACTCCTCTTTCACTCCGCCCATCACCTTGCATCCTTTACTTCGTCCACCATACATGTCACTCCCCTTTCATCCATTCTTCGCCGCCTCTTTACTCCTTCCTTTCTACTCTCCCCAACAAGCAAATAATGATGTCCGTTCGCCAAACACCTGTCTGCAATTCCATTGTGTTTTTATACCTAGATACGACACTACTCGTACACTCAAAAAAGAAGAAACATCATCGCGGCGCCCAATTTGTCATGAGGCCAAACAACGATACAGGACCCCCAATACTGTAGAGAAACATACATGCATTTATGCATACATGCGTTATATTTTTGAATGCACATCCCACAATTCCTCCAACCCCGAAAACAAAAAAAAACAAAGCAAAAAAACCACTCTCACGCGCTCATGATACATTTTTGGATCAAAACAGACGAGCTGCACGAATATTCTCCGCCGAATAGCACATTCCCATTCGTAATCATAAATAGTTCCACTCTCACGCGTCCTCAGGTTCTCATCTTCTCAAGTTACCGTTTCGCATGCATTCCAAATCAATGGACGGCGCCGTTTATGTAAGTAGCCCTTTTGCTCCATCTTCCTTCGGGCTTTAGTGTTGCATGGACTATTTAAGTCCTTCCCGTGGTTTCAGGCCCATTTGAATATTCAAGGTCTTCAGTGTTCTTTCAGGGACCATTTTAGCACAGGACATTTTTGTGCGAGTCAACAACAGGACTGCGATTCACACAGGCACGAATGTCACCCCAACAAGACCACAGCAAAACCCGTCGGTGCAGTTTGCACTGTACAAAAGATATTGCACGCGCGTGAAAAGAGAATTTCCTTTTGGAGCTATCTCGTACAACAATGATATTGTTCCCAACACTTAGAACTCTAGGGGCTAACACCTATCCCCCTACGCGCCTTGTCACGAACAATCAGCTGCACCCTTCTTCTGGTCTGTATGTCTGATTAGCTTTTCTTTGCCGACATCTCCAGTACCGGTTACGTAGTTTGGTAATTCAATGCGACAAAAAAAAACGACACTGACAGCCGGGTCGATAGTAATGCCGAAGAGAGTGAGTTGTCTGTTGTGTGAAAATAAAGGAAGCGTATAATTAAAAGGACGTTCAAAAAAAAAGCGGCAACGTGGCATCCTGTTCTCGCAGTACCTGATCAACTAGAGGAGGTTTCTTTTGGTGTGGCAAATATCGGGTAAGTTATTAATAATCCTTTGTTAGATTCGCCATCAGGACAAGAGCGACATTCACGGTGTGGAGGTGATTGTGGTTGTCATACCGCTGAAAACACTGAAACGAACTCAATTAGGTTCCAGGTTAACAGGTTAATCACGACCTACCACTCTGCATTAGTGAAAAACCTCCTCATATCATACTCTCGAATGGGAACAGCATCACCATGATATTTTCATTTGATACAAAGAATAAAGTAAAGAGAACAAAAGGGAAACACAGAATAGAGAATTTGATATTTGTTTTTCATTAGAGTGAGGGTGCGACTCTAAAGAACTTAGTAACCGAGGGCAGAGATCTTCTCCTGGACAGCAGCCAACTCGGAGGACTTGGCAGAGGTAGCCTTGGCACGGACGTTGGCAATAGCCTTCTTGCGCTCGTAGAAAGCCTTGGACTTGACCTTGCGCTTCTCCTCGAGGTTGGCAACAACGTCGTTGTACTTCCAGCCGACCTCGTGCGAGACACGCTTGATGGTGCAGTACTTGCGGCCGGGCTTGAGCTTGAGGACACGGAGGGCCGAGGGGACGACCATGCGCTTCATGCGGTCATAGGGAGGGGGGACACCCTCGAAGAGCTTGATGCGGTCAAGAGCGGCGGCACCACGGGCAGTCTTGTGGGGGACCATTCCGCGGATGGCACGGTAGAAGATACGCGAGGGAGCGCGGAAATGGAAGGCACCACGGGAGGGGTTGACGACGCAACGCTTGCGGAGGAAAGCGTGGTACTTCACTGTATACGTTTCAATCATTGAGAATACGAAGAGAGGGTTAGATTGATGTTTTCTAGAGCGTATAGATGATTGACTGTGCAAATGGCGAAGATATCCCATGGTATGCTGTCCAAGTAGAGCCGCTAGCATCCAACAATCTCTGGGCGACTTCTTTCTCAGTGAAAATAAGTCCTTTGAGAGACAACGATATCGGTATCGCGCCGTTCGTTGTCGATAATACACTCCACTGCGCGCCAATGGTTTTAGATTTTAGATGCTGAGAAAATGGTAGCTTTCCGTGGATGGTCCGCATCCTTACACCCTTCATGCGTTGTTTTCGTTGCTGTCGAGTACAGTGATTGTCGATTTGGTTTCCTTTCTTTAGCCCTTCCTTGCCATCCCCGTTTGTCGTTCTGGATATCGGGCCTACTTCCTGTATGCTTTCTCATTGCACCTCGGCCCACACATATTGTTGATGAAGAGGCCTAAAAAAACTAGGCTCGGCTTGAATGACTGGTAAGAATTCACTTACGCTTGTTACGGAAGAAGGAACCGGAGACGTTCAACTCCTCGCAACGGACAACGACGACGCGCTGACCGGTGAGAGCCTGCTTAGCAACAATGGAGGCGAGGCGACCCAAGAGATGGCCTTTACCGTCGATGACAACCACCTGGTGAATGCGACGGAGATAGATAAATGAGATAGGCGCTGCTGGTTAGAAAAAGGGCGTAGATATCTCTCTGCGAAGTTGTGTGGTGCTGTGTGGTCGAACAGTGTCCGTCCTGGTCCCTGCTTGTTGTCCCGTTAACGATGTGATCACTATGATCCTTCTCGTTTAAGTTGGTGAGATGAACGGTGAGAGATGATGGATTGCTGGGGTAGAGTTGTCTATAACATCCTTTCGTCTCGAACATGTTGCAAACTTTGATCCTGGGGTGGGAGTTGAATGTCGAATGTCAAATGTTGAATGATCTTTTTTTTGACAATAGTCTCCAGTTACAGTTGGCAGGTGGAGTGAGGGTTGTTGCTGAAGGGTTGATCCTGATCCGAGATTAACCATCCCTAATAGTCATCACTGGTTGATGAAAAAAAACGATGGGGTGTCTGTGCCGAGTATCGAAAAAATCGGGCATAGGTCCGCCAGAAAAAGAAGGCAGAGATCCGACTAAGGATCCGATGTTTCTTCCTGTCGATGTCGATGGTGGATCCTGAATCCTGATTGCTCCTTGTCCTATCCTCCATCTTCCTCCTTCCTTTCCTCCTTCCCGTTCCCCAGAGTAGGCCAGTTTGTTGAATTACTTTTTCAAACGAGCTCATGTTGGAAAATATGCCAAAGTGGTAAATTTAGAGGAGGAAAAAACCGTCGAGTTGCCACTGCTCAAGTTCTTTTGTGTTTTTTTTTTTCTCTGTTCACCTTCCTGTCTCCACTTGGTCTCAGTGGCTGATAATGATGGATGGAAAAAAAGATTCACACCTTCGTCCCTATCACACAGCATTTGCGATCGAATGTTCTTCAATTTTTTAAACGATATTCACACGTGATGATTTTTTAATGACGACTAAGATGCTGGGATCAGAACTGTCAAACGACACTTTAAAGCAAGAGCATAGCTGAGGCGAGGACCATGGTGGCGCCAATGACGGCCGTGGAGGCCTTGTTGGCCAGGCCACTCGATGAAGGAGCGGCATAGACGGGGAGGGTGGCCTTGACAACGGGGGCAGCAGCGATGGTGGCAACGGGCGAGGTCACGTTGGCCGAGGCAGCGACGACGTTGATGGGGAACTTGTAGGTTAACTTTGTATCCTGAACTAGCTTCAACGTGTATCCGATGACAAGCTATTATCCAAGCGAACAAAAGAGTGACAGGGGGATGGTTAGCATCATTGCCCATTCGTTGTAATAGAAGGTGTGGTTGTGTTGGTGTTCTCTCTCGCTGTTCTTCTTTTGTTGTGCGCGGGCTAATTATGGGCCGTCGTTCGTTCGATTTCTTGGTTTTGGCTTTTGTGGAGCGAACAAAAACTTGCCGACCGGCGTTTTAAATTAATTAGCACGCCCCTATCCCTTCCTTGTTCTTTTCATTCCGTCTTTGTTCATGCGAAGCGAGATGAAGACGATCAACTTGGTGCAAGAAGCAAATGAGGAAACCACAAAAACAGCACTATTACTTACACTGTAATTGGAGGGGTAAGAGTCGGCGGGGATAGTGAGCTCAGCACGCTTAGGGTAGTAGTTGCCTGTGCAAACATCCGCGGGCTGGCAGACGGCAGCATAGCCAGTGTTGCGGTTATTGTCCCATGCGATCTCCACAGTCGTGTTGCCAGTTGCGCCAACCCACGCCAAAGAGGTCAACGTGACTATTGGTGCAAAGGGTGGTGGTTCATCAGTGATGGTGGTGGTGAGTTAGTGATACATGGATATTCATTCCTCTTTGTCTCTTCGATTGGCCGATTTTTTTACTGAGAGTAAGGGGGACAACGGACGCATGTAAAATTAACAGCCGGAATTAATCAGAGGAAACAACATACCGGTGCCGGTGTTGAGGGTAGGGGTGGTGGTGTTGGTATTAGTGTTGTTGCCGACCATCTTTAAGGTATAGAACGCGTACTCGAAGGGGATGGTGTCGCCGGCCTTGACGGAGGCGTTGAACGAGGGTCCGATGATGGCAAAGTCACCTCCCATGTTCTTCCATGGGTTGGCAGCGAGGACAGTGCTGGCCAGGGCCAAGATAGAAGCGGCAGCAGCGAAACGCATTGTTGTATATATGTGTCTAGGCGTTGTTGGTTGGTTGGTTGAGGAGGTTGTTCGTAAAGAAAGAAAGTGTGGAGGAGTGAGTGGAGGCGGAAGTAGAGGACTGAGAGTACAAGGTACGTATGGAGATGGGCAGGAGAGCAAAGAAAAAAAAGAGAAAAAGAAAAGCAAAAAGCAAAAACGAACGAACCACGGATATACCTCTCCTCTGCTCATTCCTCTTCGCAGAAAGAACAAAACATCGGCTGTTGAGCCCTACCTTCAATCCTAACTCGTCCCCTACCTTACCGCTTCTATGAATATACTGCATATAGAACTAGTCCGCCGCATATTTCACACTTTGTCAGCCGATATGTGTCTGTCTTTATGCCCTCGGCGAGGGCGAGGGGATGGAGAAAGAAATAAAGGATGGAAGAAAGAATTGACAAAGCTTTCCGTCACCTTGTCGACTGAGGCATGTGTCGAGAAAAGGAAGGATTGGTTCGTTTTGAACAATGGATTATGGGTAGAGAGTTTGTCGCCCCTCCTCCACTGTTGTACTGTTGACTTGATTGATGCTCTCCTCCACAAAAAAAAAGGCTGTCCACTTTTCTTTTTGTTTGTGCGCACTCTATTACGCCACAAAGGAAACACAAGAGCTTTGGCATAAAAGAACACGCCAGCGAACCATTGAACTACAACGAAAAGCAAAAACAAACAAACAAACCAACAGTTGGTCCTGTATGTATATGTGTTCAGGACGTGAAAAGTACTGTACTGTATGTGTAGCATGAGGCAAAAACAAAGACAACGGCAAATAAAAAAATATCTTGAGAGCACCTCTTACACAGGACTCTGTTCTGCACCCCTTGAACCATTTGTGAACCATGCAAAAAATATCGACCGTTGTTTTCATTGTTGTTGACAGTAAAGAGCAAAAAAAAGGCACACTAAAGTGTACGAATAAAATGGAGACGCCAAGCTGTCAACGAGGTGCGTTCGGATAAGGCAGGGAGTACTGGTGGAGAAATAAGAAAGAAATATACATTGACCATCCATGCATTGCAGCTGTTGATGTTCTTGTTCGTGTTGTGTTTGTTGTACGAGGTGTTATTAAGAGAGAGATTGGTGTAATTGAAGCAGGAGAGGATATATACAATGATTACAGTGGAAAGGAGGGGTATCTACGAAGAACAAACAAAAGCTACAAGAGAATGGATGACCTAGGAGACCCAGGTCTCGATTTCAGCAGAGCATGGCTCTGGGAGCAAATTCCTGTCAACGACAGAGATATATCCCACCAGACCCACATGGGCATTCTCGACGAGCTGTGCTTGGCTGTCTGCAGCAATGCTCCGGTCGACCTGATCCATCATCACATCCATTGAGGGCAAACCCCCAGCCGAGATGACTGCCGACAAGAGCGACGATTCCGACCGTTGGGACTCAATCGACATTCTCGAGTCCGCCAAGGGCATGGCGGTTGAAAAGACGGAGCTAGCACTGCTGCTGAGACTGGAACTAGTGAATGACCTTGATGGTCTGGAACCAGGAGTAGTGTCGGTGGTATTCCTTAGCGATTCCCCTGTAGCTTGTTCGTCTCCATTTTGTTGCGAAGGAGAAGTGGCCTTGATTGCGTTGGACCGTTGGAGGGTTGTTACTGCCGTCGTGGTCGCGTCGATGCTGGTTGGGCCCGAGTCAGAGACGGTCGGATTGGGAATGCGTGCGAAGGCCCGGTCCAAGACCTCCTCTTGGACTCCTCCCTCGCAGGTGTCAGACAAGGCAGTCTCCTTGTCTTCCAGGTCTTGGTGCTGCGGTGAGGATGTAGGTGAGGGTAATGGAGAAGTCACACTGATGGTGCTGCTGGCTCTAGGCCTCACCGACAGACTCCGGCGGGGCAGATAGACATTGTTAGCTTCATAAGCAGCGGGAGGAGCAAGTCCAGCGACCCAGGCATCGAGATGTTGAGGGACAACAACGACCTGATGCGAGGCTCTCTTCCACCGACGGTTAGGCATGGATTTGCTGCGGGAAAGGGACGAGACCGATGCCTTCTGCTGCTGCTGCTGCTGGATGGAAAAGACCGGAAAGGTCGCAGGCGAGGCGGATCGTCGACTATGCATGTTGGGAGCTGATGGCAATAACATGACCTCCTTGCATACGTCGTGCTTGTGGGACAAAGATGCAGACGACGATGGCGAGTGATGGCCTGTGCTGTATGAAGAGGAGGACGACGGCGAAGAAGAGACGGTGTAGCGTTTGCGCTGGAGTGTGTAGAGAGGTGTGTCAAAGCTTTCGGATCTATAATGGCGTCCATGGTGGCTCTGGCTGTGATATTGGTGGTGGTTGTGGTTGTGACGATGTTTTTCGTTTTGGTTGTGGTTGTTGTGGCACTGGAGATAGGAGACCTTGCGTCCGTTGGTGTGTTGGAAACTGGGCGTTGTAGGTGTACAAGGGGTCGGGTTGGCTGGAGAAGAGGCCGAGGAGGAGTCTTTTGACTTTGATGCGCTTTTGGAGCGACTCAGTGCTCTTTGAAGGCGTAAGACTTTGACGGCGACCTTGAAGTAGGTCGTTGCGGGTTTTGAGGGCTGCGACATTATTGTTAAATGTGAAAAGTGAGCGTGGGACGGTATGGGTGTGTGTTTATGTAAGGGGTTGGGCAAGGGGAAGGGAAGGGAAGGGAAGGAGGCGAGGGGAGGGAAAGGGCGTAGTTGTTGACAGCTCAAGAATTGAGTCAGAGGGAGCGTCGATCCAGGATTTGTTTGCAAGGAAGGGTTAGGGCGAGAGAGTGGAGAGGAAAGGTATATCCAAGGGTAAAAGAGATGAGAGGAAAGAAAAATCGAGAGATGGTCAAGTCAAGTTGGAAGAAGAGAGGGAGGAGAAAAAAGAAAAAGAAGACGAAGAAGGAGAAGACGAAGAATGGGCGGGAGGAGAAAGACGTAAAAGAAGAAGAAAAAAAGGAGAGGACATCCAAAGTGGTGCCCGAATGAATTACTTTGGTTGGGCGGTTAATGAATTTTGACCAGGGACAAATGGGATTTCGCCCTCGCTCGCCTTTTGTTTTTGAACAGCAAGGAGACAGGGGCAAGAATGAAAGAGAAAAGAAGGGAAGGGAAGGGAAGCAGAGGAGAAGTGGGGGGAGCCGACTGGGGTTATTACACCGTAATTCACAAGGTGGTTTAACGGAGAATGACCGATGGGAATCATATCGACAGCACTAACAGTACTGCCATCATGATCTCTGTCGATGTCTTCCTTGCTGTCACTTCCATCCATGCAAGCATTGTCGACAAGAAATAAGGTATTCACACTAGTCATTGCCTTTTCATATGCAATATGCATAGAACGTTGAAAAAAGCAAACGAGTAGTCCATGCATTGTACTGTACACAATTGAAAAAGGCTGGCTAGGGGTGAGAGAACCTTTTTATGAGAGCACATCAGGGGGGGGGAACGAACCTGGCTCCACAACCATTGAATTTTCCCCTTTATTCCTTTTCGCAACACTCCTGCTTTGCTCTGCCTTGCTATTATTGTTACAAGCAATGCTAATCCTAGCTCGCTCGTTCAGAGTTGGTCAGGGGCACCACTCAGGGACTTCCAATTTGCCCTTTGCCAGTGCATTGGTCAAATCCTAATTCACAAGGCACCACACTTACTCATGAACCCTATTCTCACAACACACAGGGTTGGAGTCATACTCATCTTGACTTGTGAACACAACTCAAACTCACTTCTCCATCCACGCCCTATTCATCCTTCCTAACCGACCAGTCAACGGACCAATGGTTGTTGACTCGTTCGTCTCGTCCCACCTCGGATCTAGCGGAAAAAGAGTATCCGTCTTACTTTTTTGCACAACGTGTCGGTCGTGTCGGTGTCAGAGACACACAGGGTTCTCTTTTCTCTTGGTATTTGTGTTTGTGTCTAATGCAGCTTACGGTGGCTACCTGGTTTGGTTAGAAAACCTACCACTTAGTCCACCCGTCGCCATCGCTGCATGAACTATTACGCGATTTTTCATTCAAACACTGACGAGGCGTTACAATGCATGGCGCCTATCCATCGATGTCCAAGCCCTCTCTCTGTTTACTGTCTTCTCTGTTATCTTTTCGCGGATAAACGTGTCGTGAGTGGATCGATCCATTCCCCTCGATTTTTTTCTCTTTCCTCTCTTTAATTTCCTCTCCTTCTTTTTAACCATTTACTCTCCACCTCAACCACATACTCTCTTTCCTCTCTCCATCTCACTTTCTCTCTCTCTCTCCCACCTCTCTACCTCTTCCCCGACTAGGACAACCACCCACGACTACCCAGGAAGAAAGAAAGAAAGATGACCACCCCATCAACGGTCCACGGCCAATACCCACGCGTGTACCTCGTCCGCCACGGAACAACCGAATGGAGCCAGAACGGTCGTCACACCGGTCTGACGGACATCCCGCTTTTACCCATCGGGGTCGAGCAAGCCGGATTGCTCTCATCGCGGTAAGTAAAGAACGAACGTCTGAGAAGCAATAGTTGGAGAGAGAAGTCAGTGTCAGAGTGACGAAGAGGGACAGGGAACAGGGAACAGCGAACAGAACAGGAAAAGGAGAAGGAGGAAGGAAGGAGTGGGAATGTGAGAGCCCACAAGTTCAATATCCATCCCTTCATTCATTCCCGTCCCTATCCATCGTCCATCGTCCATCGTCCTTCATCCTTCGTCGTCATCATTGTCCATTGATCGCGATATCCATGACCCTGGGAAAATTTTGAACAGAAGGAAATGATGAGGGGATCTCGGCCAATCTCACAACAACACATGAACTAACCACTCCCTCTCCCCTTTCACGCCTTGGAATCCACGAACAAACAAACCTATAGGATATTTGAGAACCCACATCAGGACATGGTCCACATCGACAACATCACCCTCGTCCTCGTCTCGCCCCTCAAGCGCGCCCAACAGACCTACGAACAACTACGGAATGGAGGACTCTCAAAACAACTCCACGAGGGAACCGCGCCTTCCTGCTTCACTCGGACCCAGGCCCGTACAACCTCACTCTTGACCGAATGGGATTATGGCGATTACGAGGGCGTTACGACAAAGGAGATTCTGAAGACGAGGCCGACCTGGTCGCTCTTTGGAGATAATGCGCCTGGTGGGGAGACGGTTGAGCAGGTCGCGGCAAGGGCGGATGCAATTATTGAGTTAATCCATAATTATCAGCGTGGTCTTGATTCTCAGGGTAACTCGACTTCGACGCTCAAGATGCCCTTTACCGAGCTCGAGACCCAATCCAACAACAAGGAAACCAATACGCCCGCGACGGACGAAGGGAGCTTGGCGGCAGAGCACAAGACGGTGGTCACGATTCCGAACGAGAAGGGGCGTCGGGATGTGCTTGTGGTGGCCCATGGACATTTCTTGAGAGTCTTTGCGGCGAGATGGTTGAAGGAGGATGGATTGCATGGCAAGAACTTGGTCCTGGATACTGCCAGTGTCTCCGTGTTGGGGTATGAGCATACCTTGGAGGAGCGGGTCATCAAGGTCTGGAACCAGAGCAACCACCTCTGGAAGTGATCCAGTGATAGGTTGTTAGCTAACTCCAGTATGTTTTTGAAATGGAACTTCACATCATGCCATGGTGAATACACAGAACAATGCTTATGGTTTGCTTTTGAATGATTTATTAAGTTCCCACAACAATCCGGAGATACACCTCTTCATCCACTCTCCAACTCTCTCAGACTTTGGTAGCGGTCCAACGAGCGCACTCATAGACATACTTGAGCATCCCATGGGGGTTGGCCATATAAGTACTCTTGACGGGCTCCTGGATCTCCATCTTGAACCCAATCGTCTTTGCCAACTCGATCACTTCCTCCAGACTGAGCTCCACCGAGATTTCGTTGGGGGTGTTCTCAAAGTGCCACAGCAACGGACCTAAACGATGTGAATGATGGCGTTTTTTTTTTTTTTTTTTGGCAGCCAAAAAAAGAATCGATATGGTTAATTGGTGTATGCTGCGGGACGAGTTGGTTCGATCGCTCATGCTAACTGTCCGATACGTTTCGGGGAAGGAGAAAAGAGATTTCCTCTTCCTACCCTGGTCATTCAACAATCAGACAGCCATAATGGAAAAGAAGCAATAAGAAAGAATGAAGACAAAGGATAACAAGGGAGGACCCGCGCTGTTTTGCCAGGTGTGTGCATTCATAAAACGACACGGTTCCGGCCCCTGCACCAACTCTAAACGCAGAAATAGGAGCGGCAAAAATAAACAACCAACCACTTCATCCCAACAAATATCGAAGGAATGACAAGGGCGGTGACTATTTTTGGGGGTCTCGTCCTTCTCTCCGGGGATTTTTTACACAACAAGGTGTCAGATCGGGTCAAGAGGGACGAAAGAGGAGATGAAAAGGAAGTGGAGGGGTTTCAAAGCACGTTGTTGTTGCGGATGTTTTAGTCGATCTTTGAAAAGGTACAAGGCAACAACCAGTTACCCTGCACTTCGACTCTACCATTGCTGGTGCTTGTTTGGCTGTATGTCTGTGTGTCTGTGTGATTTGCTGGGAAGATTGAAGAGAGTTGTGCAGGGAAAGGAACAAGCGTGATATGCAGGGACTCATGCATAAGAGCACCCAACTTTTGAGAGCTACCTTTTGCAGCTATTTCTCAGGAACATCATATCAGGGGGAAAAAGATGCTTACCGGCATTGATCCAGACACCTCCCTTCTTCAGGATCTTGTGGATGGTCTCCAAGTAGTCCACAATGTTCTTGGCGGTATCGATGAAGAAGCATGTCACCACCGCATCCCATTTCCCTATTTCAAAAGCAAAAAAAAAAAAAAGTAAAAAAAAACGAAAAGATAGTGGCGACATATATGTGGAGTTAGAAAATCAAAACATCATCCCGTCCTAAAACCTCAGGTTCATTATATCTTTTCGTCGGCGACATAAAAACAAGTATCAGTCCAGAACGCTTCTTCATAGTTTTTACCGTAATTCTCTTCCTCCATGCCGTAAACTTCAATAAAATCTCCCGCGACCATCGAAAAGTCAGTGCCCCGAGGGATCTCGCTAGGGTTGACATCTGGGATCGAGGCCTCGGTCAGGACATCGCTCGATTTGGCAATGTTTGAGAACGAGTGGATGTAAGGGTAGATCTTGAACTGGTTGATCCGTTGGCTCTTGTTCAGGATGAAGTTGGACGCAAGGAGCATATAGTACGAGAACTCGTTTCCTTGCGCACTGAACCCCTCGTGGGCAATGTCAAAGGCAAGGCGGCCAAGTCCTGATCCGGGGACGAGCACATTGATCCCGCCACGCTGCTCTACAGGTACTGATGCGAATCGGGTTCGAAGTTCCTGAATCAGTGGTTCGTAGATCGCATCTCGTTCGGGCTTACCCTATTTCCAATGGTTGACAATCGTAGGAGAGTAAGTACGTAGGCACATTTAGGGGATATTCCCTCTTCATCCTGAATGCAAATACACTCTTAAATAATGAATGCGAGCTAGCTTACTCCTGCACTCCAGTCCCGAACAAACTGCTTAATAGTTCCTTGGACTTTCTCCATGTCCTGCTCCCTCACACGGAGTGCTGCAGCATTCTTTGCCCGCTCATTCATATTAAGCTAAATGGGTCATAGCATACAAGAAAGAGTACTAAGGTCAGAATCGTCTCGCAAACATGTCCTCGACACAGAGCAACCAACCAAAGACAACAAAGCACCATATTGTTACCTTTGCGGTCGCGCGATCCTCGTTCACAAAAATCTGCTGGTCTTCACAGATAATCTTGATGATCTCGTAGTTGGCCTCGATGGCATCATCAATCCGTTCCATTCTCTCAAGATATGTCGGCAGCATCCTAAATGGACCCATTCAATGAACAAAGACAAGGGCTTCGATTAGTTATGATGCCAGCACAAAATTGAATGATAGTCAATTGTCCATCAGTTTCCATGCATGGTCGCTTGCATTTAATTCCATTGATAGTAGATCCCGAAAAAAAACGCTTACTTTTGTTGCCTTTCGGGCAAGGAGTAGAAATCGGTCCGTCGACGGTGGTTGGCATACATGGCGCTAGCCTTGTACTGAGAGAACGCCTTGATGATCTTGTGAAAATGAAGCGTCTCCTCGTGCACTGCGTCATTGTCTTCCAGGGATCCGTGTTCTCCGTGGTCATGGCCGTGATCCTGGCTGTGACCGTGGCCACCGTGGGCGTGGTCGTGACTATGACCGTGATCGTGCGAGTGTGAATGACCTCCGTGATGTTGTTGATGCTGGTCATGGTGGTAATCATCAAACCCTGGCCTGTCCGAGATGGTGTCCCTTGGCCTGGCAGTCTGGTTCTGCTCCAGTCTGATTCCAGCCTGGAGGCTTGTCTGGTGGTGTCCTTGATCAGCTGGATTCATTATGTGTCGCGGTTTGGTTACAAAGCTAGCGTGCGTGTTCAAGGTTGTCAAGAAATCAGGCACCAGGGCGAAAGAGAGTCACGAAATGTTGGCCTGCAAAAAAAAAGGTTTATTACTGGCGACGATTTGAACCCACTATTAAAGGGTGCGCGTCCGTTCGTCCGACTCTGGTGTAGGTATGTTGGCAGCGGCAAGCTTGTACCGGAGCCAAGGGTGCCTGGCCATCTTCCCGGCCGGTGCTCGCTTGGAGGGATCGAGCTGAAGCATCTTTTCCAGAAAGTCTGCCAACAGCAACGCCTCCTCTTCCGGCATCACGTACTTCTCGCGAAGAACATCCCTGATAGGCCACATACGCAGCTTGCGGATCTTTCGGAGTTCCCCCTTGCTGTTGAACAGCTCCCGCGAGTACTTACCGCTGGCAATCATCTTCCTGGGCAGATCTCCCATCAGCTCGATAATTTGCGCCATGTGGTCGTCATCCTTGCTGTAGTTCGCTCCTCCGCTCTGAGGATCAAAGAGATAGTCGGTCGAGATCAACTCGAACGCCATACATGCCACACTCCAGACATCTGCGCTTGTTCCCCACTCGGCGCCAATGATGACCTCCGGCGACCGATATTGCCGTGTTTGAATGTCGTCTGTGAAATGGCGGTCCTCCCAGCAGGCATTGCCCAGATCGGCAATCTTGACAGTGATGGTTGTCGGCATCTGGGAGTCATCAGGAGGCTGAAAACTTCCTGACATGGTTGTTGTTGACTCGGCTACAGTTGCTGTCTCCGTATCATATCCTCGTCTAAAAGTAGATGTATTAGATAATTTTTTCGAACGCTCACAGATTAGTAAATATTTTATATCAATCTCATTTGCATTCATTCCTGTGTGTGGGGGGGATGAGGGGGCTTACACTGTAGACTTGTCGTCCCCTGCGGGCTCTTGGTCTCCCAGGTCGTCTTTAGTCCGTTCAGAATGAGCGATAGAGGGTGCTGCCGTGCTCAGGCTTGATTCGCTGCTACGACCGCCGCCCTGTGTTAATGCTGTGTGTGCGCCGTGCGTCAGTGGTTTACTGGTGACAACCTTGGATGACCGACGGTGCTGTTCAGCGAAGGCCTCTGCGTCCGAGTAATCCGTGTCGCCCATGAGTTTCTTGACTACTTGCTCCACGTCGTCGACACAAACCAGCACGTTCTCCGGCTTGAGGTCGGTATGAATGATGCCACACTCGCGATGCATGTAATCGAGTCCCATCAGCACTTGGTACAGAATCTGCTGAACCAGGTGCACAGGGATGCCTTGGTTCCGATAGCGCTTGATCATGCTCAACAAATTCTCGCCCAAGACCTCAAAGACCATGCAGACGTGCGATCCGTTGGGTCCCTGATGAATGAAATGGTCGAGAAGCTCCACGACGTACTTTCGCCCAGGCGCCGACGGGTTGGTTTTGACAATCTTCTCCAGCAGCTTGATCTCATCCAAGGCGGTCTCGGTGTAGTGTTTTGCAGACTTGACAATCTTCAAGGCCACGTGTCGATTCATGCTGAAAGGACCAAAAAGAAAGAGTTGTCAAAGAAAAATGGGCATGAAAAAAATAAGAATATCAGAAATCAGATGGTTGCGTCAAAGGTTAATGCATGAAAACATTACGATCCCAAAAATGGCACGGGTTGTGAGTGACACACTTACACTGTATCCTTTGCAAGCCAGACTGTGGAAAAATGGCCCCATCCAAGTTTCCTCAGGACCAAGTAGCGATCATCATGAAAGCGATCCCCGACACGGACATGGTGATATCCGTCCTTCTTGTAGTCTGACAAATCCTCCTCCTCGTCCGAGTGTATAGAGTGCTGGTCAGAGTGGATAGTATGGTCATAAGGCTGCCCTGACTCGGACCCACGGCCATAGTCCTGTCGATCGTAACTCTGGTTGCTGCTGTTGCGATAGTCATAATCGTAGTCACGATTGTTGTTGTTGTGGTTATGTTGTTGATCTGAGGATGCGTGGTTGCGGTGGTTGTTATGGTAGTCAGGTTGCCGTGAGATTTCAGACGATGGCCGAATATCAACTCTTGACTGTGTCATAGTACCCGAGGACATCCTGGACGAGGAGTGTGAAGAGCGAGAGTCACCGGCGTACTGGTACGAGTTTGCGCCCAGTTCTGTCCTTGTGGCCTTGGGTTTGCGGGTGTTGATGGCTGCAGTGATCGAGGCTATCAGGACGAGGAGCATGTGTTTTGAGATGAGTGAGTGAGTGAGTGAGTGAGTGAATGGGTCAAAGAGTGAAGTGAGAGGAATGAGAGTGAAGAGTTGAATGGAGGGCATGAGCGTAGAGCTCTTTAAATAGCCTCTAGGGTAGGATGGGCATAAGACCAGCACCCACTATGTCGCTCACAGTGAGGACTCATGGTCAACTGTCTCTCTCTTCCCATTATTCGCTCATTTTGTTTCGTGTTTTGAGTAACCGTCTGTTTGGCCATCCTCTTTTCACTCTTGCCACTACTTCCAGGATAGGAATCACTCTCTCTTCTCATTCATGGCCACAACAGATATGAAAATAAGCGTAGACTCCATCTGCTTGCTAGAATGCATAAACAACGACTACGTTTATTTGCGCTCCAGTTGCATAGCGTGGTGTGTGCTGTTGTTGTTGTCGTTAAAAATAACCTACATTTGCGTTTCCTGTCCATCGAAAGTCAAGACGTGTGTGTGTGGGAGGATGGGTGCAGCCATGAGGAAGGGGAGGACAAAGAAGAAAACAAACCGCCAGAGGACCAGCGGCAGCGTGTTTGGCGAAGGGGACTGCTGAACTGCGACTGTGGCCATAATCAGACACAAACAAATTCATCAGCCCAGCCATTGAGCCATTTTGCCATTTTCTAATATGTGATCTGTTCCTGCACAACGTGCACGTTGCTTCTTGAACCCTTTCTTCTGACAACTATGACGTTTTTACAGCCTACTTTGGGCTTTCCTTGCTGTGACTTGCCATTGAACCTGCTTTTTTTTTTTTTTTTTTTGCCTGACTTGACTTGATCCCGCTTTCGCTATCTATATCGCTTTTGCATCGTGTGTCCATGGATCCATGCCAACTAACCGGGCGAAAGAAAGTCCGTGACCGCGGCTGGGATTTTTTTTTCTTTGAGAGGCTTGGCAGAGACACGGCCCCGGAGCGAAGAAAAAAGAACTGGCAATGACGATGATTTATTTTCACTCGCACGCGCACCCAAAGCGATGGTGAAACAACCGGAAGAAAAAAAGAACAGCCCATCCCACCACCGTCACTACGCCCGCCTTTTCGCTGATAAAGAAAGACTTCATCATTTTCATCTTCTTTCTTCTTCTTCTCTCCTCCTTCATTACTACACTAATCAGATCCTTTTCCTCCTCATTCCTATCACACAAAAAAAGTTATCGAGCTCAAAGTCTTCCCTCTTTCAGGCCTTTCAAACCCTTCAAACCCTCCTATCCACTCTCATCCCTTCTCCTTTTTCACAAGAACAAAACGACAACGAAATGTCTATCGTCGACGAGATTCGCTCCGGAAACTTTTCTCTCTACGGCCAATGGTAAACAGAATGCCTTTGCGCTCTTCTGCCCTGCCTCCTCTGGAAACGCTGAAGCTTTACGATCCATCACAAGGAGAAGGGCGAAATGATATACTTACCCTTTCATTTCTCCCTTTTTCAATTGCTCAACTAGGTGCGGTCTTTTGTCCATCGTGGGTATGTACAAACTTACCAGAAGGAAGCGACATGCAAACATGAAACCCTGGGAGGACAGGATGTTACAACGATACTGTCCACGTTCTCTTCTCTCCACACGTCGACTCGTTGTCTTTGTGCACCCACACGAAACAAATTCAAGCACACCCTGCCTTCTGACAAATTGTCTCTTCTTGTATTTTTTTCTTCGACACTAGCCCTCATCCTATTTGGTATCCTCAGCTTCAGCATCGGATGGTCTCTTATTGGATGGTAAACAAAGCAACCTTACTTCGACTGTGCTGGTCGTCGATGTCACTTTGCATATGCTTCAGAACGTTCCTTCAGCCTGCATGTTACTGTTTCTGAAAGACTAATCTAGTGTCGTCTTACTTTTCTGCTTCTCCTTTAATTAGGATTATTGCGTTCCTCTTGGTCTTCATTGAAATCCCCCTCTGCATGAAGGTAACAGGGTCATTCCATAATGGAGCCAAATGACATGATCAAAAGGCTAAAGAACCATCTACAAAGAACAGAAGGGTGTCAACACATCTGACTGCAACAGGGAACTAACAACACGCCTTATCCATGTCCCCTTCGCACGTTATGATTGTTGTCTTCTCCATTAGTGCTGCCCCACGAGTGAAAAATTGTAAGTGGCTCATCCTACAATCATGCATCGCCCAGGACACGTTGATCGATCGCGAGGACTTTTCTTTGTTGTTTGAAACGATCCACGAAATTTTACTCATCCTTGTTTTTCCTCACCTGAACTTGCTTTAGCGATAACTTCTTGACAAAGTTCCAGAACTCATACTTCCGCGCCGGTGCCTATTTGGTGTAAGTTGAGCGTGAAAACAGATTCTTCTCACGGATAAGCTTGTTCGCGTTTTTATCTTTTGAATGAGCAAAAAACGCGCCACCAATCAGACAATTTTTTTTGGTGGCGCCCCACCTTCCACAGACATCACACCTTGAAAAGCTCACACACGCATGTTGATTCTCATTCTAATCTCATCACGTAGGTTTGCCATTCTGATGTGGATCGCTGTCGGTGTCGGCCACAGAAACCTCCAGGCCATCTCAGCCCTGTTGCTTACGTTTGGATTCCTCTCGTACACATTCGCTGCCATTCGCGGTCAGACCCCCACCTCCAGCGCAATCACCGGAGGCACTGGCGTTGCTAACATTGTCTAAAAGACATGACGGGACTTTTCAACTCTACCCTGCACTTGCACGGGGCCCCCTAACTCCCACCACTACAACTGTTTATACATCGCATCTTCCCATAATCATTTCACAGTATTTCATAAATAAACATACTCGCTTTAATATCGAACAGACACTGCTGGTACTCGTTCATGTCGTGTCGTGTTCGTCGTTGTTGTCGCCGTCATCGAACTACGAGCAGGCTGGCTCTGAGTACGTGTATTCGTCGCCGGTTCGCGCGCATGTCTGCGCCACCTTGACTGCGCTTGTTCCGACTCACCGTCGTCGTCCACCAAGAAATCTATGAGCGGCGTGCTGGTGGCCTCGTCTATCTCCTTGGTCATTAGTTCGTCGTAAAGATCAAACGTCGTCTCGGCAGGTTTGGCCGTCTTGGTGGGGAGTGACAGATAACTATTGGATCCGAGGGTGGTGTCAGGCGAGAGAATCACTTTTCCGTTCCGCCGCGGGTCCGATCCGACTCTGGAGTGGTGCGTCGTCGTCGTCGCCGTCTCAAGTTGACTACGGTCAATTTCCTCCCAGCTTTGTCGTCGGTCCTTGGTGATATAGTCGTTTTCTTGTGATCTGTCAAACTGCTGTTGATGGGATAGGCGCCCCTCCTCCTTCTCGAGCCGAATACCCATCTCAAAGTCTTTAATCATCTCCAGATTCTCCATTTCCTCGTGCTTCCGCTCCAGATCGCTCCAAACAGCCAATAGACCCTTCCTACGCTCCTCGTCGCCACCGTCCCCTCCGAGTAGATTCTTGAAGAGTACCGATCCGATCTGTAGAGTCGGGCAAAAGATAAGACCCAGGTTGGAAATGTTCATCTTAGTGCAGTTCTCATAGTCGGCGAGATTCGAAAGATGGTGACACAGTGTTCCTAGCAAGATGTAGTTCTCCAGTGGTAGCAGGCCGAGCGTATCCTGGAGTTTTTGTTGGTGCAGAGGTTTGGCGTCTGAAAAGTCGATGTTGTTGAAGGTCAACATGGTATCCGATGAAATGATTGGGGATGGCACTAGATATACACATGAGTGAGGCAAAGTATTAGACCTTATATTTTTGCCATCAAAATGCCTGAAGCATACGTACTAAGCTTTTGCCACAAAGTCACTTACATTCACGGAAGTAAAGCTTGAGGAGAGTAGCGACATCGTGTGGGTTCTGCGGCGCATTCCCTTTCTGCAAGAAGTCATAGTCGTGTCCTGTGGGCGAGTCAAAATGGAAGAAGGGGGGTTAGAAATGGCAAACTATTTAATTAGCAGCTTGAGCTCTCCAAGGGATAAAAAAAGCTTGGGTGCTCCTTACCGTGGTCAAACATGGCTTTTAGACGCGCTACGTTGGAGGTACTTCCTGGTACCCGATACAAGCCGACCTCCTCAACGCCCATGATGTCAAGATACTCTATGCACCTTGAAATAACAGCAGGCACTCCAGTAGTCGCCGATATCTTGGACAGCCTGACAGCATCTTCCAGTGGTAGTCCGAAGATGTAATCCGCGATCCCAGGTCGAGAATAATCCTGTTGCCCCTCATTCGTCCCATCAGCTAGATAGTTGTCGGATGAAAGTAAAGTTAGATGAGTTGAGGTACTTCATTGACCTGTGACAACGCAAAATAACAAGGATCACAAGGTATACCTCGACGCTTCCAGCGATCGGTTAGCCCGCCGGCAATACCGCCCATGCCGCCGCGATCATCCCAGGCCTTCTTTGCGATTCCACCCCACTCAGCGCCTCGAGCCCTCCACACAGAACTCTTCTCATAGACAACATCGGCAAGATCCGCCTTCTTCTCGCTGTAATTGATCTGCTTCATCCGCTCTGTCTGCTCATGAGCCAACGCCTGGATCTTGTGGAGTGATGCCGTCAATGTAACTGAGGCCGCCGGGCTTCCTGGTTCCTGCGCATCGTCCGAGAGTTCGCCGTAGTCTCCATTGCTTCGTGACGGATAGGTTGGCAACTGTGATGCTCCAGAGTGTCCCCTCATGTCTGTCGATCCAAAGTACCCGCCATCAAGGGTAGATATCGGAGGCGACATTGTTTTAGTGGTCTGAGGGAAAGCCACAGAGTATGACGTCGAGGCTTTCGCGTCGGAGGTAGACCGTAATCTTGACCGTGCGCCGAGCAATGTTGGGTTCGTTCCTGGAGATGTTGGACCGGAAGACGACAAAGTCGAATCGACCCAACTGTTCTCCAATGTTGGAATCACGACTGCTTTCGCTCTCGCACTTGCAGAGACGGGCGGATGTCGAGTACGTTGCGGCGTTTGCTCCAATTGAACAGGCTGTCCATCCATTGAGTGTTCCGTCGATCGTGGTTTCTTTAGTGGGACTGGCGACGAGGAAACAAGAGGGGCAGAGGCGAATTTAGGTCGTGGCAGCTCGTGGGACTGGGACATGCCTTGGATCCTCCCTAGGTTGACCGGTGCAGATAGCGACAGCGCTGCTGGTTTGTTAGCTGTTGGAGGGATTGTTGCAGGTGACGATGTGGAGCGGGTAGGATTGTCCACTTTGGGCTGAAGAGGGACCGACTGCAAGCTCAGTGGCTTCGCCTTAGGCTGTGGAGCAAGGGAAATACGCTTTGGCTTTGGAGGAGGGAGTGGTGCACGTCCTGGGATATCGGATGCTGTCCTGGGTATATTACTGGTTTCTGGGGCTACAGAAGGGATCCCTCGTTCGAGGGGAATGCCGGTCTTTCGCAGAGAGCTTTGTCCAGCGGTTGCAAACAACTCGTCGGTTGTAGGGCCTTTCGATAAAACAGAGTGAGAGACATCGTTAGAGTCGAAGGGGACGACGGGTCGTAGGTTGTATCGAGGTAGAGGGATGGGGGCTCTTGTTGAAGGAGAGGTGCTGCCGTTGAGCATTGCAGCGTCGATGGTTCCTGGAGGAGTTGTTTTTGAAGAGGTGCGAATGCGGTTTGGTTTGCGCGGCGGCTCCTTGACGATGTTGTCTGCTTCTGGCATTCTAATGTCTTTAGGAGGAGGGGCGATAGAGTGAAAATAGAGTGAAAATAGGGTGAAAGGGAGAAGCGCACGCGGAAAGTGAGAAGTGATCAGGGCGCGGTCTGCTGAATAGGTCACGGACAGAAGTAAAGGTGTATAGTTAAGAGAAGGGGAAAGAGAGGGGGAAAGAGAGGGGTGTTAAGGAAGGAAGGGTGAGTGAATGAGCCATGCAAACAGGGTCAGTTCAGTCAGGTCAGTCATTCAGTCGACTGGGATCATCTTTCGCTTCCAGTCAGACAAGTTGAGTGCGTGACCACTCGATCCCTTGCTACGTGCAGGGCGCATGCAACAGCAATTGGGCGCCTAATGTTGCAGATGACCAAAGAACGCACAACATATATTCTAAGGACTTATGCACGTATTTGTCCCTATCCATCTTCCCTTCCTTCCTTTGTCAATTGCTATCTCTCCCTTAATCCTTTCTAGTACTATACTATCTCCTTTTCTTTGTTTGTTAAGTTGTAAGTGGAGTGAAAGAGGGTAGTTCTTGCCCGCGACTTTTTTTTCCCCTTCACTTTTCTGATCCATCAGAGTGAGACATACCAAAGTGTGGATCGATCTTCCCTTGACCTTCTTATGGGTGAAAGAGAGAGGCACCATTGCCATTGCAACCTTAGAAATAGAGCGAGCGCAAGAAAGGGAGCCAGAGGGAAAGAATAGACTATTTTGTTGGGCAGATCGGCTGCGATGGTGCGTGCCATAACCTTTCAACTCCTCTTGTCAATGGTACACGGCGAGAGAGGCCCGTCCATACCCATGCTTGTATAATACATTGCGAAAATAAAAAACAGGATCCTCCTCTTTTTTACTTGAACGCATCGTGATCATCAAAAGAACACCATATATTATGGAGGGGTTTTTTTTTCGTTCTTACTACATCCATTCTGCACGCTCGATGAAGAGACGGCTGGTAACAGTCAGCAATATCAAACGTCAACCGCTACGCAGAGTACGATCTGTCTACTGCCCACACTATAACATTCCGTGTAGAAGTTGTTTCATCATCTATGTTGACAAGGAGAAGAAGTTGCGTCCTGTTCGTTCAGTTCAGTTGGAGCGTTCGATTCCCACGGCCATTTCCACGTCCAGGTAATGGATGTCTCTTTTTGGCTTCGGTGCTTATTTTCTATGCACGCTCTCGAACCTCCAAACTAAGACAACGTCATTCCAACCCAAGGTATCATGTGTGCTGACAAGTCAGATGAAAAAAAACCATCTGAGAGCATCAACCGCACGCACTCAAATAACAACAGAAGTGCTCAGTCCATTTTATTTCTTTCAAGTTGAAGGCTTGGCTGGAGGCGTTGAGGTGAAAAGGAAAAGGAAAAGGAGGAGGAGGAGGAGGAGAGGAGAAGGAGGGAGCGGTGAAGGAGAGGAGCGTGAACTTCGGAGGCGGAGGAGGAAAAGGAGGAGGGGGCGGAGGAGGAGGCGGAGAATCACAAATCAACAAGAAGGGAACGAAGGCTTCTGAACCTTGTGCCTGGGGTGAAAGGACCAAGTGAGGAGGAGGAGGAGTTGAAAAAGAAGAAAAAAGAACAACAACAAGGGCAACAAGGGAGGCAAGGTCAGCCGTGTCTTGTGATTGGTTGGTTAGGAACAGTCACCTGTGCGGTATAAAGGAAGAGGTGGGCCAGCCGCCATTTGCACCTCCTTTCACTTTAACTTTTCAGTTTTACAAGTAAGTCCGTCACTCCGTTAGAACCCCCACAGACACTGTCTTGACACTCGTATGATTTTCTTGTGGACTCTCTACAGCGTGTTGTATCCATCGATGCCTTTATCCATCGGTTCATCTATCGTTGCTGCCATCACCCATCCCAACGCATCCCTCTCCGCACAACCGTCACCCATATCGCCCTTTTCTTCATTTTCGCTCAAAAGCCTTGTAGCAAGAGTTCTGGCTCTTTTATGTCTGTCATGGACTTGTTTTTTTTTTTTTTCTTTCGATGAGCAACTTCATTTGATCATCCAAAGATCCTGAAAGTTGCCAGCGAACCCTTTTCTCACTTCCTCGTCGCCAACAACACGATTACAGTCGTCTTCAACGATGTACTCTTACCTCCCCCTCTCTTTACGGTGGTCCCCATCGTTTTTTTTTGTTTTTGTTGTGACCCCCAAGAAAAAATATTTGCAACTGTCCAAACTTTATCCAGGCTAGCGACTAATATCTCTTGCTTTCTACCTCCCCTTCCGTCTAATAGAATGGGAAAAGAGAAGCTTCACGTTAACGTCGTCGTTATCGGACACGTCGATTCCGGCAAGTCCACCACCACCGGTCATTTGATCTACAAGTGCGGTGGTATCGACAAGCGTACCATTGAGAAGTTCGAGAAGGAAGCCGCTGAGCTCGGAAAGGGTTCTTTCAAGTACGCCTGGGTTCTTGACAAGCTCAAGGCCGAGCGTGAGCGTGGTATCACCATCGACATTGCCCTCTGGAAGTTCGAGACCCCCAAGTACTACGTTACCGTCATCGATGCCCCCGGACATCGTGATTTCATCAAGAACATGATCACTGGTACCTCCCAGGCTGATTGCGCCATTCTCATTATCGCCGGTGGTACTGGTGAGTTCGAGGCTGGTATCTCCAAGGATGGTCAGACCCGTGAGCACGCTCTTCTTGCCTTCACCCTCGGTGTCAAGCAGCTCATCGTCGCCGTCAACAAGATGGACACCACCAAGTGGTCCCAGGACCGTTTCGAGGAGATCATCAAGGAGGTCTCCACCTTCGTCAAGAAGGTCGGTTACAACCCCAAGTCCGTTGCTTTCGTCCCCATCTCCGGATGGCACGGAGACAACATGTTGGAGGAGTCCGTCAACATGCCCTGGTTCAAGGGATGGACCAAGGAGTCCAAGACCGCTTCCTCCAAGGGTAAGACTCTCCTCGAGGCTATCGATGCCATCGAGCCCCCATCGCGCCCCACCGAGAAGCCCCTCCGTCTCCCCCTCCAGGATGTCTACAAGATCGGTGGTATCGGAACAGTTCCCGTCGGTCGTGTCGAGACCGGTATCATCAAGGCCGGTATGGTTGTCACCTTCGCCCCCTCCAACGTCACCACTGAGGTCAAGTCCGTCGAGATGCATCACGAAGTCCTCGTCGAGGGTATCCCCGGTGATAACGTCGGATTCAACGTCAAGAACGTCTCCGTCAAGGATATTCGCCGTGGTAACGTCTGCTCTGACTCCAAGAACGACCCCGCCAAGGAGGCTGCTTCCTTCAACGCTCAGGTTATCGTCTTGAACCACCCCGGTCAGATCTCCAACGGATACGCTCCCGTCTTGGATTGCCACACCGCCCATATTGCCTGCAAGTTCGGTGAGATTCTCGAGAAGATCGATCGTCGTACCGGTAAGGCCATTGAGGAGTTCCCCAAGTTCATCAAGTCTGGTGATGCCGCTATCGTCAAGATGATTCCCTCCAAGCCCCTCTGCGTTGAGTCCTTCCAGGAGTACCCCCCTCTCGGACGTTTCGCTGTCCGTGACATGCGTCAGACCGTTGCCGTCGGTGTCATCAAGTCCGTCGAGAAGACCGATGGCAAGGGAGGCAAGGTCACCAAGGCCGCCCAGAAGGCCGGTGGCAAGAAGTAAATTTCTTTTTAGAATTTTTGCCTCTTTCTTTCGACCCGAAATCGCGTGCATCCACCCGTTGATTTGTGAACAAATATTTCTTGAATAAATACGCTCATAAAAGAACCTTCGTCGTCTCCTTTGTTTACTCTTGCTTGGCCTTTCTTCTCAAGGGGAATGATTATGACAGAGGTGTTACCGCTACGAATGTAGCCTTTGTTGTGTTTATTTTTCTTCGAGTGAAGAAAATAAAAAAAAGTGGTTCTATGAAATGTAAACAAAAGCAGGATGCCAATCGCACAGGTCTTCGCCTTGCGACTCTATTTCAAACTCCTCGGGAGTCAAGTCTTGCCGCCTCTTGTTCTCTCTACTATACAAAAACTTCAACAACAAGATCAAACAAAACGAAACACAAAGCATCGCCAGACTAATTACATGCCCCCTCGCCGTATGACCCGGCTTATAGATCTGTCCACTAATTAGACCACCACAGTTCCCGAACGAGATGATGACCCCCGTGGCGACCGCTCGCTTCGTATGCCCACCAAAGTTAGAACTGACCCAGCCGACCATGGAGGGGACGGCACTGAAGACGCCTGTGACGGTGACGGTGAGGCCGATGTAGCGGACGGCGGCAGATTTGTGTTCGAGGACGATGAGGAGGATGTATCCAAGAATTGCGAGGAGGGTTGGCATTGCATAGTGGAGACCACGTTCGCGGTAGCGGTCTGAGGAGAGGGCGACTAGGATTGTGGCCAGACATGCAACGGCGTATGCAGGTGCTGTCATCAATTGAGAGGTGATAGGGCTAACAGATTGAAAAAAAAACCAGTAAAGCATAAGGCGATGTACATCATGGAAAAAGAAAGCAAGTTCTGGACCTCCTTGCAAGAGCAGCTAAAGAACACATACTCGAAAGAAAACTCGCGGACGAGGGTGGGCAAGAACAAGGCCAGGGCGTAGAGCGGGGTCATGGTAAGGATATAAGGGAACGCGTGCATGTAGACCTTCCAATCGACAAAGACGCTCCTGGCCTGTCGCCATGAGAACTCTTCCTGTGTTGCGGGACCAGCGTCGACCAATAGCCGCTTGACAGTCAGGTCCCGTTCATCCTGAGAAAGAAAATGGGCTGTTTGGGGGTAGTCTGGGAGGTAGATGATGGTGAGGAAGCAGAGGAGTACTGTTGGAAGACCCTCTAGAATGAAAATCCATTGCCAGCCTAGTAAAGGTGTTTGTTTGTTTTTTTTAGTGGTCGTGAGTTTTCGGGTGGATATGCCAGCAACCGGAGTGAGGGAGAGGTGGGATGGGAGAGATAAGGTTATCACGACGAAAATCAGGAGAGCAAGCCCTGTTCACAGACACACACAGACACATACCATAAAGACCACGGACGCCGTCCATCTGTGCAATCCCGTACGCCAGAATTCCTCCAAAGGCTCCAGCCATGGTCGCTGTACTGAAGAACAGTCCGTTGCGAAGTGCCTGCTCGCCTCTGGAGTAAAACAGCGAGATCACGAACACCGCTCCTGGGAACAACGCCTAAGCAAAACCGATCAGGTCGAGAGAAATGGTGAGGCGACGGTGAGCCTCTGTCTTTCATGCTTTGAGATAAGTGTCTTTTACTTCCGTTGTCTGTTCGCTTTCCTGTTGTACTTGTCACTTACAGCCTCAAAGATACCGAGGAAGAACCGCGTGGCGTACAAACTAGCCGCCGTTTTGCATGCTGCCAGCAGCATGGTCAATATCCCCCACACAAACATACATCCACTAATCCTATTGAGTCCATGAAATCGAAAGAAATGAAAAAAGCCATTTCCTCGGTTAGATAGGTCTGGAGTGCCATAAACGATTGCGACATTTTCTCCTGCATGATTTTGATTGAGCCTCGATCCTGGTATTTTTCTCCACTCCGATCGAACTCATCGTACCATTTCCTGGGTCCTACTTTCTTCAGCTATCGATTACAAAACGAATGAAAAAAGAACGACGACCGTTAGAGAGGTGCGCAGGCAGCAATCCTCCTTTCTCTCCTTGATATCCAGTGTGTTTGTTGTTCACATACCAGCATCTGCGATGGCACCTCGGCAATGATGTATCTACAACATTGAAGAGTGGAATGTTGTTTTTAGATTATGACTCCTCAGAGACAAATAAAGACATGAATCCTGCTGGTAATAGTTGCTCGCAATCGTACCCAATAAAGAAGATCGATAGTGCCCAACTGTATTCTGACGGACTGAGGTTCAAGTCCTCTTCCAGTCCTGCGACCTTGGCGTTCCCTGTTAACGTTGCAATTGAGTAGGAGGGCAGAGAAGTAGAAAGTAAGAAAAGGATGTATGCTGTTCAAAGGACGAGTGACAGCATACCGAGTAGCACCAAGAACGAGTTGACAACCCCGAAAGAATGTTCTAATACCGATGTTGACTCTGTCGAGAAAGGAGAAGAGGTACATAAGCGAGAGGAGCGGCAACAGGTGCCAGTCGATCTTTCGCCTCAATCGGGCGATGACTTCAGGGTCCGGGTGGAAGTCATGATGGTCGTCTTCGTATGCAATCTCCTTGCTATCCTTTTCGTTCATCCTGATCACGGCTCGGCTCCTCCTGCGGGTTTCGATAGACATGTATTAGGAGATGTGTAGTACTTGTTGTTGTTGTTGGTGGGGTGGTGGGGTGGTGGGATGGTAAAGGATATCGGTTTGATTGACGAGGTGAGCGGGAGAAGATGAACGAAGAAATTAAAAACCTTACTGGGCAAGAAAAGAAAAAAAAAACATGAGTTCATTCTAGCAGCCGTGACCGTTGATCAGGGTGCGCCCAAGCCATCTCTCCCCCCCAGTGCTGGGCAAATGAATCAAACAAGAAAGAATGCAAAAGGGAGTTTCTACATGCAAAGGAGCATATCGGGATAACTTCATGATGTTAAACGACTTCAATTCGAACAGCTCAGGATTAGTTGGCGTAACTTAAGGTACAGCCAATTGAGCTTAACGGACAACACCCTTCTAGATACGTCATCTCACGCGTTTTTTGACGACAACATGTTACATCACAGGTTGACACGCTTCCCCTTGAAAGGCTGAGTTTCCACCACCCATGCCTTTCTTTGCCAAGCCAAAAGTCGACAATGCAAATTATCTGTGCAACTAATGTTTACAATGCTAATACGAATCTGGAGAGCGGATGCGGATGTGCCTTCCGATGCAGAGTTGGTGTCCATGTGCATGCTGAAAGAATGGCAAGGTATGGAAGGCACAGCTGGGAGAGAAAAGGCCATATAAAGCAAGGACTAATTTTTTACAAAACACCTAAATCAGACCAATCTTCCCACCTTTCTTTCAAGAACAACAAACATCAACCGCCAACCATGAAGTGTTCCCTCCTTATTGCCGGTCTCCTGTCTTTAACCGTCGCCTCTCGGGCTGAGATTCTTCGGTTGCAACTTCACAATGTCGGCGAAAATCCCGTTGTCGACGCGTTCAACTCCTTGGCTTCTCTCGGCAGTTCTGGCTTTACCCAAATTCCTTTCCCTCATCCACAGCCTCGGCGGCAAGGATCTCGTAGCAGTATTCCTCTGAACGGATACTATACAGTAAGCATTCATTGTTTCCTTGTTTCCTTACGCACCACATTTTGAAACGTTACAACCATGACCACTTACACCTCTCTTTATCTTCTTGGATCCTCGCCTTCTCTTTGCCTCCACAACAGCAAATCGCAACGGTCGAGTTCGGTAACCCTCCTCAATCGCTCCGCCTCAGTCTGGACCTGTCCTCGTCCAACACCTTCGTGGTCTCGAGCGAATGTATCCAGATCTCATGCATCGGTGGCCGAAAGTTCAACGCGTCCGCGTCGACTACCAACCACCGCATCGGCAGAACATTTACCATCCCAGGCACCCAGGGAATCGTTTCCCAGGACACTCTCTACATCGCGAGTGCTGAGTTGCCTCGTCAAGAGTTTGGAGAAGCTCTTTCCTTCTCTATCATCGCTCCAGGCTTCTTGGGATTCGACGGTTCTCTAGGACTCGCTTATGACGAAGGCAGAAGGCCTGGAAACTCCGCCACCGGTAGTGTCTCTGTGATTCGCAATCTCTTGACGAGTCGCTATATTGACCAGCCCATCTTTACGCTCTACCTGGGTTCACTCCGTCCCAATGCGCCCTTGGGAGAGCTCACCATCGGCGGGCTGGAGCATCGACGGTTCAGTGGCGCGTTGTCGTGGCACAGAGTGGCCAAGCGCGGTCAGTGGATCGTCTCCGTCAAGGGCGCCGCGTTCAAGTATGGTGACCGAGTGACAAGGATCGTTTTTGACAGGATTGAAGCCCCCACCCAGGTGGACCCAAACTACCAACTCATCCATCTCGCCAACCAGCCGGCCTACTACGTCAACCAGAGACTGGGTGCGGACAGAAAGGATAAGAATGACCAGTACCATCGCCTTTGCGAGGGTATCGACCAACTCGAATCTGTTGCCATCACGATCGACAGAACCAACTACTGGTTCACCCCAGAGGAGGCATTTATCAGGGCCGGCGATGACGTGACTTGCATCAGTATCTTCCAGGAGATCCCTTTCGTCTCGGACGAGGAGAGAAAGACCAGAGGGTATGAGGCTGTTCTGGGTGCTGTCTTCTTGAGAAAGTATTACAGCGCCTTCGACTATGGTTCTCATCTCGTTGGCTTCGCTTTGGCCACTTGATACCCCTTCCAGCGGTCGCAACACCTTTTTGTTCGTGAGATAGTTATCCATTCAGATAAGTGAAGTACGTTCTTCTTGGACGAATAAGAAGCCCCTCCCAAAGAACAAGAATGAGAACAAAAATGTGGAGTTAAAAACTTATAATTAATTGGTAAGGCGGAGTGGGGAGAAAAGTAGGTGATACTATATAGTGTGTGTATGTACAAAGAGCAAAAGTCTGATTAAGAGAGGACTTTTGGTCGCTTAGGAAAAGTATCTGAAGCCAGGGTGGTTGTCGCAAGGCTCCTCCTTGGCGGCCTCCTTGGCATAAGCTTCAGGAGTAAGGTTATCCCTACGCTTGTTTTCGCGGATAAGGAAGTACTTCATGACCATAATGAGGATCGACGAGATAAACATCATGCCTGTAGAATGAATCAACAATTCATAGGAAAAATCGTTGGTTAGTAATTGTACCAGTGGATTGGACGTGGGGAAGCAAATTGGATGAGAAAGAAGGAAGAAGGTTCGTGCATGCATCAATCGCGACATGAACTTACCAGCACAAACGGCATGGCCTCTAACATATCCATTAGCAGCATCTTCGGCTCTGTAGATCTGGCCGCCAATGGCTCCTCCGATGTTTCCGAACGAGATAATAGCAGCCGTGGCGACTCCGCGCTTGGTATGACCTCCAATGTTGGTCGTGAACCACGAAAGCATGGCGGGGACGGAGGCGAAGACACCAGATGCAGTGACGGTCAAACTGACATAGCGGTTGATGGTGGGTGAGTTCTTGGTGACGATCAAGAGAACGTATCCAATGCCTCCAATGAAGGTGGGGAAGGCGTAGTGGATTCCACGTTCACGGAAGCGGTCCGAGCTGAATGCAAAGATGATGGTGAAGATGCAGGCAATAACGTATGCGGGTGCTAGATGTTCAATTAATACAAGTGGAGAAGAGAGAGAGAGAGAAAGTGTGTGTGTCAGTAGAAAGAAATTATTCATTGTAGAATCAAATATCTACACCACCACAATTTCGCGTCTTGATTTTCGAGTCAATCAGTACCTGTCATGGCCTGGGTAGTGAGGGCGTTGAACTTGAAGCCTTGGACGATGGAGGGCAAGAAGAGCGAGAGGGAGTAGAGAGGGGTGGCGTTGAGGATGTAGGTAATCATGTGCATGTAGACCTTCCAGTCAACAAAGACGGCGCGGAACTGTCTCCACGAGAAGGCGGTTTCGGTAGCTGGGCCAGCATCAATGAGCAGTCTACGGACAGCCAAGTCCTTCTCCTCGGCGTTCAGGAAAGGGGCGGTCGAGGGGAAATCAGGCAGGAAGAAGTAGACGACAACTGTCAAAAGGACCGTGGGCAAACCCTCCAAAATGAAAATCCACTGCCAACCTATTATTTTGTTTGTTGGATTAGTGTCAGGCCATTATACATGCGCTCCAAAAACACACAAAAAGCAATCCAATAGGTTCGCACTCTTTGCAAGTAGGTGATGCTTACCGTGAAGTCCAGCGACACCCTCCATCCGGGCAATTCCATAGGCAAGGACACCGCCAAAGGCTCCGGCCATAGTAGCGGTACTGAAGAACAATCCGTTGCGAAGGGCCAGTTCAGAACGAGTGTACCAGAGCGAGATCAAGTAGACGGAACCAGGGAACAAGCCCGACTCGGTCAGACCTAGGAAGAAACGCGCAGCCAGCAATCCAGCGGGGGTCTTCACAGCAGCCATGGCCATCATAATACCACCCCAGAATACCATGATAACGCAAATCCTGTTCGTCACAAAGTGAAGAAGTACAAAGGTGAGAAAACAACGTTCTTGCAGGCGACGCTATCAAGTAGAAGCAAATGGTCCAGACTGCAAACGAAACATACCACTTCCTGGGTCCCACCAGCTTGAGCAGAATGTTGGAAGGGATCTCGAAAAGAACATATCTAATAAGGGCATGTCAATGCAGGTTGACCAATCAGCGGGCTTGTTAACATCAATGAACCTTCCTGCGAAACCCCACAGAAATGCACCCAAACAAACAAAGACAGACAAACGTCAACAAACAAAACGTCAACAACAACAAGAGACTAGCAGGATGCCGTTTTGCTTTGTTTTTGTTTTCTTCCTTACCCGATGAAGAAGATGGACAGGGCCCAGTTGTACTCTGAGGCGGTCAAGCTGATGTCGTTTGTAATACCGGCGACCTTGGCGTTACCTACATCACGATCAAGAGAGACAAGATGATTGTCAGCCTGACTGTGATGGCCTGACAACTAATGCTGGACTCAGTCGCGTTTGGAATGGATATCGTAACAAGAGTATGGCCCTTACCGATGTTGACACGATCGAGGAAGGAGCAGAGGTAGAGGACGGCGATGAGAGGGATTAAGTGCCAGTCAATCTTTCTTCTCAATTTGCCAACGGCAACAGGGTCCAGCTCAGTGGATCCATCGTATGAGTTCTCGTAGTCGACTTCCAGTTTCTCTGAAGCATATTCGATGGGGATCTTGCTCCCAAGGACGGCAGGGGTACTCATGGTTGTGCAAGGGACGGGCAAGGATGGAGGGAGCGGGGGGAATAGAGGTTGAGGAAGGGGAGGAGGAGAGGAGGAGAAATGAGAGGAGAGAAAGAAAGGAGGAGCGGCGATGAAATAAGGGACAGGTATGAGTGTTCAACTGAAAGAAAATAAAAAAAGAAAGGGGGAGAGGACGATTCATGGTCGACCTTTATGCTGCCTCTGTGATGCTAATGGGCCATCGTCCACTACGGATATACTTTTAGCAGAGCCTTCTCTTTTTGCCCCTGAGATTGATTATCCTTTGACGACGACATGCCTGCTAAAATAAAATGGGACAGGGCTGCATCTGTATTCTCTCTCAGTGTGTGTGTACGATGTCAGGAAAAGGAAAGGAAAAAAGTGTCCGAGGTGAATGGAATAGTAGTCCAAACAGGGCTCAGCAGACGCCTCCAATGGCAATGGCGAATCGTCGATGTGTCATGGTTTGCAGTGTCATATGGCAACTGTGGCGGCGTCTGGCCCTATCGGGATCCTTTGCGGTCTTACCCCGTCCCACACCTATTAAGGTTTCCTTACCTCTCGTCCTGATTGGTACTTTTTCTCTCACCCATTCTTTCACACACTATGCTTTTGACGTATCTCTGTCGTTCAAGGTTGGTATGGATAAGGATTGCACCTTACAACTTAGTCACCTCTTAGATCGCCCTTTCTATTCCCCCATTTCTTCCACTCCTCCCCTGTCGCCCGCCTCTCTTCTTTCCTTCTTTTCATTCTTTCCTGTCTTCCTGCTAAGACCCTGGCACAAGAAAAATGGAGGTTGAAAGAACAAGGCAAGAGGCGAGGGTTGTCGTGTTTTTGCCTGTTTTGATTGTTGTTTACCGCTCATTCATCCAAATCGGTCAGTTTTTTGAACGTGCATCGTGGAGGAGGACGAGAAAAAAATAAAAAAATAAGTTGGGGGTAACTGAAGGAATCGAGTGGTGTAAACAAACAAACAATCGTTAAGGTTGCACAAAAAAAACAAGTTCTTTCTTGCTTCTCCACTTGTCCACTTACCCTCTCCTTGTCCTTCCCCACTTCGCCGTTGTGCCGGCTGCCTTGTCTGTTTCATTCTTCTTCCCAGTCTTCGCACCATCGCTCTGGTGAACATCCAACCCAAAATATCAACAATATTAACCACACTTCGATCGATCCCGGGATTAAATGCTCCAGTAGCCCATTTTCATTTCAACCCTGCCTTCTGTAGAATCGCTTTCTTCTGGGCCTTCTTCAAGAGGCTGGATGCAGGTTGGATCTTGCCTATATCGAGCCGCATATTCATTTCGTCAATTGCGCTATAGTTCTCACACTCATCCATAGACGACCAGATGGCTAGGTACCAACACCACGTATATGCGTACATCCATGCTTCCAGACGAGGAAACATTGGTACGGAAATGCCCCTACAGTTCTACCCCACAACCTTCTACGGCGACGGCAAGTTGTCCGCAGTCGAAGGAGGGAATGATTTGCACCACTAGAGATATCGATCTCCGCAATGTAATCTTTGTCCAAGCAAGAGCCAGTCAGGTTAGACTTTGGCTTTGCTCCATCACCTGTTGCTGTACCAACCATCGCCTTCGGAGAATTCGGTTTTGATGGCTTGGTAACTCATTCTCATCTCCCCTTGCGTTTGTTTTCTGGATAAACGAAGAAAGAGGGTTCATGACAAATGCTCGGGAGAGGCCAATGGGCGAATATGAGCCGACAACAATAAACACTAGTCCCTAGGAAAAGATAACCCATGTCAAATAGCTGCCTTGAGGACAGGACCAAGTCCACAAGAGTAAATACCGAAGTCAACACCAGGCTTCTGGGCCGTTGGCATATCGACATTTACCTATAACAAAGACAGAATGAGAGAGGTGGAAGAAAATATCGTATGAGTATGAGCACCATAGAGCCGATTCCAATGTGTCGCCTTACTATTATGACCGATAAAATGATCAGCAAAGAAAAATAGCAAAGTACAGGAGGGCAATCGAATTCACGGACATAGGAAGAAGAGGATGAGCAAATAGCATAAGAAAGCAGCCGCAGAAAAGGTACTTACTCGTTGCCCATCGCTGGGTTTCATGTTTAATTGATCAGTTGCTAAGCCCACTCAAACATCTGGATGGCCAGCGGATAAAGCATGCACATCGTAAGCAAAGTGCCCCGTCTACTCCACATCTTCACCGTCTTCTTCGTCGTTTTGTTCTATCTTCCTTGTCTTTTTTTGGTGCAAAAGAGAAATAGTTCTCCGGACTTTTGTTTTTAAGTCTCAAAGAAAAAGAGTAGCAACAGATTCCTCCTCCCCTCATTCCCTTCCTAATCCTTCCCTGCTCCAGCTCACTTCCAAATTTCGCTCAACCGTCAAACAAACTGGAACACTCTTCTTTCTCTGTGCATGTGCATCGACAGGGTCTATCTAATTAAATGCACAAGAGGTCTTCTTTGACGCATGGCGACCAAGAAGAAAGTAGTCTACTTTGGACCACAATTCGTTTGTGGCCCACATGCCTACATTTTTTATGTCGATCAAAGAATCAGCTAGTGCCGGATCGAATTTTCTTGGGCCAAGTGTTCCCTCAGCTAAGATGTTGTTTTTTGAATGTTTACTCTGGAACAAACATTGAATGAAGCGTCTGTGCCTCCCACTCTCACAATCTGCAGTATGTCGGCAAAAATATCTGCTCTATATTTCGTATGTCAAGAAGAGGCACAGAAAGAAAGAAGGGCTGGATTTTGTTTTGGCCTTGCTCAAACCTGCAAGTTTTCTTTGTATTGTACATTGGGTCTGTCTAAGTCTGCCTAGCCTTCTCTATTGGCCCTTACTGGTCGTTTTCTATGCGCGTCCTGTCCTCTCACTCCGCATTTTCCTCACTCGCTGCTCCCCTTCCTTCGGTGTAGCGATTCACTTTTTGCCTTCTTTTCCACTCCTCAACTCTGAGCACATACAGAATGCAGAGATCCTCCGTTACGGCTCCTCTTTCGCCTCTCACCTTCTTTCAGACATCTCCACCACATCCCTTCTCCGTGCCCTTGGGTAAGAAAGTTGTTTTACGTTCGCTATAAATGTATTTGGTCGTCCACTTTTTTCTTTCTTCCTTCCTTCTTCTAAGCACAACTTCCTCATCCTCTCTCTCTCACCTCTCTCTTCTCACCCGTCCGCGGTAGTCGATCTTCCACAAGCTATACCCCACCTCGTATATCCATCCCCATCCTCAACCTATCACAACCATGTCCCAAGTCGGCGATTTCAAGCACGCCCAGGTTCCTTCTACCCCTGCCGCCAACCCTGGCCCCTTGGGTCTCTCTGCCTTTGCCCTGACCACTTGTAAGTTTGCCATCTTCCCTGACGCACATCACAAATGCACTCGCATTTTGGTTCTGGGACTTTTTTTTGAATATTTACTCTAGCGCGCAATCCGTGCAACTGCAAGATCACAACACTCAATCCTTCTCTTCGTCTTCTCTTTCGGCTTCGTCCTCATGAATGTTTTTTCTCTGTTATCCTTTTGTAACTACTAGTTGTGCTGTCATGCTTTAACATGGGCGCTGGTGTCCCATCCGGCGGACCCGTCCAGGTCGTCCTCGGTCTCGCACTCTTCTACGGTGGTTTTTCCCAGATCCTTGCCGGCATGTGGGAGTTCAAGGTCGGCAACAACTTTGGAGCCACCGCCTTCACGTAAGTCCTTTTTTTTTTGTTCGTGTGCCAATTTTATTCTATTCCTCTCTCTCTCTCTCTCGTGTCCGACCAACACACCTCCTTATTTTTATGGCTATTATTACACGCTTTCATATCGATGCTTAAATCATTTTGGCAAGGAGAAGGGAGACAAAAGAAGAAACGCGTCTCAAAGTCTGGAGAAGAGGCTCGACCGTTAGAAAGGTCCAAGGGAAACCGTTTTCTCTCGCCTTGGGCTCCTTTGTAGCCATTCTACCTCCGTGTTTCCACACACTTACTAACCTCCGCTTCCTCCCTTTCTCTTTCTCCTCCCTTCACTTCAACAAACAGCTCCTACGGCGCGTTCTGGCTCTCATACGCAGTGATCCTAATCCCCGGCTTTGGCGTCGTCGCCGGCTACGCAAACGCCCCCGACCACACCCTCGATAACGCCCTCGGAATCTTCCTCCTCGCCTGGGGAATCTTCACCTTCATCATGTGGATTGCTACCTTCCGTTCCACTGTCACTATGTCCTCCATGTTCTTCATCCTCATCCTTACTTTCTTCTTTCTCTCCTCGGCTCACTTGGCACACTTGCCCGCTGGAAACATTGTTACCAGGATCGGTGGTGGGTTGGGTTTGGTCACTGCTCTGTTGGCTTGGTACAATGCTGCTTCGGGTTTGTATAACTCGACAAGCACCTTTGTCCGTCTCCCCACCGGCAGCTTGGCCCATGCTCACTCCGACTAAAATACCCCACAACACTATCAAGAGGTGCTGGCACCCGCTTCACAGTTTCTACCCTTTCGAGCTTTCCTTTTTTATTCTTCGTTATTGTTCTCATAGACACACACTCATGCCCCATTGGACTCTTTTTCTTTCCCTCAACTACATGTCCATACCATTCCGCTCATTAAAGCATCGATACTTGTAAAAATGCAAAATGTTATTGAAAATGGAAAAAAAAGAGGTTGTTCTAAAGAGAAAAAAAAATGCGATCTGTCCGACTAGTTTGTTAAAATTACACCTTACGCCTCTTGGTAGAAGACTTGCCACCAGCACCACCTTCACGTCGTGACGCCTTGCCACGCACAAACTCCTTGGCCTCCTTGGCCATCACCTCTGAAGCAGTACCGCCAGCAACAAGATGCCTCTTCTTGGTCGACTCGGGGTTCTTGACAGACACCACCGTCGAGTTACCCTTCTTGTCGACCTGAGCCTGGGCCACAGCCCAATCCAACGAATCCTTCGAGATAGCATACATCTTCTCCACATCGCCCAACGACGCCTTCTGGAGCTCACGGAGACGTTCGCGACCCTCCTTTCCGAGCTCGTCGTCCAGGTTGTCCATGTTGGGGTCCCACTGCTCCTCCTTTGTCACGTCGCGCTTCATCTTGTTGGCTCCATCCTTGGCACTCCGTCCGGTCACCTGGGCAGAGATCGCTGCACGGTTGTTGTCAATCTCCAGAGTATAGGCGCGAGTCTTTTGTTCTTTGAAGAGATCCGAGAACTTGCGGATCATCTTGATAAAGAACGCCAACAACTGCGATGCCGACAATCCAATCTCCTTCTATAAAATTTCCAATTGCATAACAATGGGTTAGTGACTGAAGGGTAGCGTACTAAAAGCACCCTGCTAAACAAGCCCAGCATATGCAAAATAAGTCATAATCGTACCTCAAAGTCGTCAATGCTCTTGCGCTGCAGGCCCAAGGCCAACAAGAGGGCAGCCTGGATGTTGGTGAGCTTGAAGGCACTATCGTCAACCTTGCCATCGAACCAGATGCTGGCAATCAGAGGAAGCAAATCCACAATGACATGGTAGTCCAAAAGCTGGTTGGCATAGCTCTCCAGACGCTTCAAGTCGTATCCCGAGAAGAGAGCATCGACCAGCTCCCTCGAGACATGGCCCTCACGCAACTTCTTGACCAAAGCCGTCGTAGCATCCGAACCGTTGTTGTCCTCCTCGCTCAAATCGTCAACCTGCTTGCCAGCGCGTGCAGACTCCAGGATCGAAAGGGCTAAGGTAGCAGGGAAGGTACGGAACTGGAACGAGAGCAAGCTCTGGAAACGGTGGTGGAAGTCCTTGGAGAACGAAGACAACCACATGGGGTCGCACTGAGTCTGACCGCGAGACGACTCGAGGGTACGGAGCATGACGCAGGTGTGCTCTCCAGTCAAGTCGTTGGCGGTCTGGCGCAGGTAGACGGGGACATATCCTGCCTTGGACCAGAACTTGTGAAGAGGAGCAGTCAAACCGAACGAGACACCGAGCCAGTGGAGCTTCTCGGCCTTCTTCTCGCTCAACTTGAGCAGCAGTGGGGGCATCTTCTTAGGGTCACGGATCTTGATATCGTCGGTCATCAAGCTGGCGCCCTCGAGTTCGCTGTCATCCACACGAGCCATGCTATACTCGGGCTTCTCATCATCATCCTCCGAAAGCATTGAGAACTGACCCTCGTAGAACTGCGAGAGCAGCTCCAAAGCTCTGGAACCGTATCCCATCTTGACGTAGTCGGGGTGGGTCGCAATACGAACAACACGAGCTCCAGACAGAGAAGCAAAATCGTCATCCTGGAACTGCTGCGAGATCAACCAAGGGATCAAATCTCCTGCTGCGCGGACACCACGGCTCAAGCTGTTGAGGACAGTCTGCTTTGAAATCTCTCCCTCCAGGCAGACCTGGAGAACACACAGAGGGTCGGGCAAGGAGCGGTCGCCCTCCTTGATGGGTGGCAAGAGGACAAAGAGGTGGTGAGAGGGTGCGTCACTGAGGAGCTGTAAGTCGTTGGGGGTATTCTTGTAATGACTGGCAACGTAGAGAGCCATCATGCGCTGCAAGAAAGTCTCCGAGACAGGGTGGTAGGAGAACAAGGTATCGCGGTTGACGTAGAAGAGCTGGCACTCCTCCTTGGCGGGGCATCCTGAAATGTTTTTCTGCACAACGGTCGCATCCAGACAAAGCAGCTTGTTGAGCCACTTCTCGGTAGGGTCCTCGGGAGCATAACGAATAGGTTCCTTCAACTCGATCTCCCTCAATGTCCTTGCTCCTGTCGAAACTCCAGTAGTCTTGTTCTTGGCAATCTCTGCAGCGTTTGCCTCCTTGCCGACAAATCCGCGAGACTGCTCACGGAGCTGCTTGATCAACTTGAGCGAAAGCGAACGTCCAGTACCCTCGTAACCGTTAATAGTCGAGGCCATGAAGACGAGGTAGGGTCCCAAAAGAGCCTTGACGAGGGGGAGAGGGATGGCGGCAGCCTCATCGATAACAACCAGCTCGGCCTGACCGAGTGTGTGTGCGTCCTGAGGTTGGATATATTGGATGGTCTGACGGTGGTCACGCTTGAAGATGTTGACACGGACGATGGCGTTGTTGAACTCGGGGTTGGTGGACTGGACAATATCATAATCCATGTGTTCTTCGTATCCGAGAGCGTCGAAACCCTTAAACACAAACTCGAAGAGGGTCTTCAAGTTCTCGGGGCTGGGCGAGGTGACAAAGATGTTGGAGTATCCGTAGGCGACAGCCGAGGCCATGGCGATTCCAAGCGCCGCCGACTTTCCGCGACCACGCGAGGCAGTCAATGTAACGGTCGAGCGAAGAGTCTTCTCGGCAATGGCTTCGATGAACTTCATGACAGCAATCGCCTGATCCTTTGTCCTGGCGGTGCCGACCAATGCGCCCATAGGTTGCTGGTCCTGTACACTCTCCTTGATCTTGATCAAATCCCGCTGCTCGTCCGTCAATGCATCCTCTCCAGTCTTGATAGGCAGGGGCTTAACGTTCTTGCCAAGGGAAATGGGGAGAACGTTGAGTTCGTCGTCGACAACCAAGCAAGTTGGGCAGCTGCCGAGGGAAAGAATGAAACGTTCGTTGAAACGGGCGACAACATCGTCGTGCGACTCTGTGCGGTATCTCGAGTGGACATCCTATATACGATTCCAATAAAGGGCTTCCCGTTAGATACTGAGCAACTAAAACATCATTCCTATCAGCAATGTATTCGGACGAGACATACCATGGTCATGGTGTAGAGCTGCTTGAGCGAAGACATGCTCTTCAACAACAAGACAATGATTCCACCACCCTCGACAGTCTCAATAGTCCTGGCGAGCAAGTTGGGCGTCAAGGCCTCGAAATCCTGAAGGACACACATGCCGTAGGTGTTTCCGAGAATCTTTTGTGTCTCCTTGTAGTAGGTGTATCGAATGTTGGTGACGGAGATGAAGAGCTCAAAGGGATCCTCCTCGTTGATCTCACGGACACCGCGCTTGACGTCTCGCTTGATCTTGGCCTCACGCTTCTTGCGATGACTGCTGAAGCCGAGCTCCTTCTTGTAGCACCAGAGGACCGAGGGACGGGCGGTGACCTGTGCCTGTGAGAGGAGCCAGTGCAGGTTCACAACCTGGTCCTTGCCCTTGTCGCCGACGAGGACGAAGAAGGTGCGGTGCTTGCTCTGGACACCATTCTTGATGAGCGTGTGGATTCGACTGTCGATGACCTTTTTGACCATGTTTGTCGAAATGAAGGTTAATGGGTTGAATGAGGGATGGAGAGAGGGTCAAGGTGAACAAAACAAACACCGCCCATGCAACGTACACATACACATAACACTCTCAAAAAAAAAAAAAAATCACAATAACAAATCACGGTGGCTTGATTGCATCAACAGTCACACTTTCTTAATTCTAACTCTCTAGGTTTAGCCTCGACCGAGCTGCTGGCTGCCTCGCCTCCGCTGTGCGCTCGACAGGATATTAGGTAGGGTGCTAAAAGAGTACTCTCGCTGGGTTGGTGAGTGTGCTGAACTTTCACTCGCCGATCTCGTCAACGGTGTACCCGCTCCATCGCGACTCGCACCAAACGAAGAACGGGAAGTGCCACCTTGCGCCTCTTGATCCATCTTTCCAGAAAGTCTGGCCGACTTTACAGCCACTTGCACATCACCGCCACGTTGGTCCACTGGGTCCGCCGGGTGCAAGGAGCTCCGCTTTAACCTAGCCCTAGTCGCGGTTCGCTCCTGTTCTTGAGCGTTCACAAGAGATGCCAGCTCGATTTTGGTGGTCGTCTTGATTGAGTTGTACCCCGTCTCTGCAACAATGCTGGTCTTTGCATCAACACGGCCCTGGTCAGCCACGGACGTGCGTCGACTTGTAGGTACGCTCGGGGAGACACCACTATCGATCGCCTTCTGAACCTGCTCAATGCAGACAGCACTCCTCTGCCTCAACGACTGGGAGAACTCAAACTTCTTGTACCGCGAGTTGTAGAACGCCATTGGGTTGGGTGGAGGGGCCATGAATCCTGTATTTGCAGAGGGGGACGATCCAGTGATTCCAGAGATGCCAAGACCTGTCGGGAACATTTGACTGAGACGTTGGTTGGATGCCGTAGAAGGGTGGTTCGAATGCCCTCCCCCTCCTCCTCCAGCGGCGGCCGAACGCTCGATCAAGTTGGTGACCGTGTCTGAGGGGTATCCGCCTCCGTAAACTGAGAGCCGTGGGTTGGAGGTGTGGACTGATGCGTACAAGATGCTGGTGGGTCGCACTTCTTTGCCGGGCCCTTTGACGATCCATTGAAACTGTTCCAGTGCTGCCTGTGGAAGATAGAGCGTCCTATACAACAGCTCACCCAACTGAGAAGGAATGAAAGTTAATATGTTAGACAAGCCGAGGTTGACATGGAGAGTCGATTTTTTTTTTTGCACAATAGAATAAAGTAGTCAAAACTCACCTCGAAGTGGCAATAGGGTACAACCCACATCTCGCTCTCGATAGTTGCCTCCAGAAGCAAGCAGTCTGTCAGGGCAGTGTAGGCAAAGGTAGCATCGTCGGGAAGGAGCTGGCGATGGACAACCGCGCTCAGTAGCAAATAGATCGCCTGTGTGTCAATGTCTGCCGTATGTTGCACAGACTAAATGCATAAGAACAAAAATGGACATGGTTAATGAATGTTTACCAAAGCGCAAACGATGCCGACAAAATGCGAAAGTTGACATACCTTCCAGATGGTCTCCAAGAGAGTGCGGTACTTTCTGAGCAAGGCGGGTTTCATATAGGCAAGGTCGCGTCTCAGGTATAGGATCACCAGAGGCAAGAATGGCGAAATGCGACCCCTTTGGAGGCTCTTTTGGCACTGGTTCCATGCAAATTTGTTGAACCGGTTCAGCTACACATCATGAAAGGAGGGAAGGTTAACATCAGAGTTCTTCTCAGGTCGTTTGTGGTCACAAAGCAAAGGCAAAGAAAAGGGCCACATACTTTGCCAGCTTGCGGGGGTGGCGCGGGGGTATGGGGTGGATGCCCGCTCAAGGTCGAAATGCTACCAATAGTACCATTGCCATCAACAGCAGCAGTAGCAGCATCTCTGATAGACCAAGTACTCTGACTGGATCCCGCCTTGATATGCCCAAACACAGATCCAGTCGTTGTATTTTTTGCCACCAACTCGGGTCCTGCCATCATGATCAACACCTCCTGGGCAGCCATCAAAAGGTCAAATTCGGGTCCTGTTCGCGGGTAGTTGATGGGTGTAGTCGATCCTGATCCTGCTAATCTTGCACCTGCTGAGGTCCCATCCGACATCGTGGGGGTGTCGTTTCCGTGATGTCCGAATCCATCTCGTCCATACTCAAAGTACCCCTCTTGTCCAAGACGAAGAACCACCTTGCTGGCAATCAAGCAGAGCCCACAAAAAGGCGCCAACTCAAAGTCATCTTCCTCATCCTCCTCCTCTTCCATCGCACCAGGGTTATTGCTAAAAGAAGGCTCGTTCCTTGTCCGTGAATGCTGACTGACACTGTTACTCCGTCCTTTGCGTCTCCTGCTACGGGCATTTCCCGCAGAGAGGTCTGTCGGGTGGTTGACAGGCTGAGCTGTGATAAACTTTCGCCAAAGGATATCAAACACATCCGCAGCCTTGCCAAACTCTTGGTGGATAAAGAACGTCAGACCTAGTTCGAATCGGTAGTTGATGGACGGGATGGCGGCTGCTTCGCATGTCTGAATGCCACGGGTGATATGGTTCAAGGCATCCGGGATCATATTGCCAGTCTTGCGAGCATGGTGGCAAGCCATCAGCAAATAGCTCGAGCCATTTCTATTAAAGACGAAGTTGGAGTCATCAATGGTTAACATCAATATGTAGCCCAAATTCAATCATCACAGAGACAAACAACCTACGGGCAGGTCTTGAGGCATTCGGCCACGATCTCGCTAGCCCTTCCTAGAGATATGCTTGCATCCTCCATGCCTCGCGGCAGGAACAGGTAGTTGATCAACAAATAAAGTCCAGCAAACGGAGCTATTGTCGTAGGCAATTATCAGAACACGAGTTAGCTACCTACCTAGGCCACAGCTGAAAAGAGCAAGAGAAAGAGCAAGTAAACATACCTCGACCATTCTTGCGAGCAAAAACAGCCTCCAGGTTCTTTATGCCAAGTTCATGGTTCGACTGCAAACCAATCGTCCTGAGAGCCGGCAACAGCGATTTTGGAACAACTGTGACAATAAAATAGAACAGACCCATGCCATACATCAAGTAGTCCTCCACATCCTCGAGAACGCTGACAGCTGTCTTGAGGTCCTCAGCGGCCTTGGCTTGATCTCGGAGCGCGCTTGCAAGACCCTTATGAACTGAAAGATTTGAGGGCAAGAATTTGGACCGTGTACGCTCACCATCCTGAAGGAACTCGGATGCATCTGTGGGAGAGGACGATAACGAAGCTGCAGATTGGTTTAAGCTGCCGCGTCGTCCAAAGAGCGACCAACGTGAACCTTCTGAAGACTGAGAGGTTGAGAGTGGTTGGTTCCGTTTGGAGCTTGGCGGTGGCACACTTGAGGCGATTGAGATAGGAACTGGAGCGGGTCGAGTGGGACGACCAGCGTTTGAAAGGTGAGCCGACCGTGTTGCACTGGCCGAGCTGCTGTCGTCTTCTCCCGTGGGCGTTTGCGTTGTTGAGGAAGTATCCTGATCAGAAGCCGCAACAAGGGCTGTCAGTTTCTGGATGCGCTCCTTTGTAAGCTCCATCTCTTGTTTGATCCGCATGTAGCCCTTCCACGCCCTGCGGAGCTGAAGTCCACCCTTGATGTCCGAAAAGGTGCCCTTGGTGTCCGAAGCCGAGGTTAACTGGAGGATGCCACGGTAGAGCAAAGTGTCATAAAAGGCCATCTCACAGTCCCACTTGTAGTTTTGTCGAAGCGTGTTCTCGTTGGGTGTGATCAGACTGGGGTCGGCACTGCAGATCGATCGGTATCCCAAGAAGCTGGCGTCCTATTGGATCGAAAGAACAATTCAACTGTCAGGGCACCGAGTAACGACCACTCAACATTCGTGCACAGTATGAACCTTACCAGATCGGTCTTCTTATCGAGGACACGAGAGGCCACCTTCTCAGACAGTTGGAGCGCGTCTATGAGTTCAGAGTCGGCCTCTGAGAGCTGTCCACTGATCAACTGACGCACGATATGCACCTAGTAAACATATAATAACGCGTCAACAAGAAAAGTTACACGTTAATCAATAATCAATAATCAATAATCAATAACCAATAACAGTTCCTTTCATCATATAAATATCCCAAAACATGAACAAAGGAAATTACTTCAGCGGCTGCAAGACTCCATCGGGGATAGAGAGTACTATGGTCCTTAAAAACTCCAAGAGCGCCTCCAAACTCGTTGTTCCAGCAAGCCATAATCCCCTCCGTCAACTGGATTGGATGAAGATGATTTCTGCTCAAGGGTGGGATCGACTGTTTCCGCTTAGCCTTCCGTGTTGATGCAGTGGCAACAACAGCAGCAGCACCGGTAGTCTGAGCAACTGCCCCACCTTGGCTGTCCTTGGCTTTCCCCAAGTGCATCGCCGTACTGTGCGGCATGGATAGTCCAGGACGCTCAAAGCCTCTCGATCCACTATTGTTAGACTGCAAGACCGATCCTGAAATAAGCGAGCGTGCCTTGGATGCCGCCTCTTGACTGAGAAGCGCTGCCGTTGCTGCTGCTGTCGATGCAGATGGGTCGCTCTTTTGGTTCCTGGCAAGCAACATAATGTTCTCGGCATTCTTGGATGAGGTCGACAGAATCGGCTCCGAGTCCTTGTCGTCTCTGTCACTACCAGCCCTTGCCTCGTTGTTGCTCGTCGTGTCCGAGGGACGGTTACTAGGAGTTGGTGATTGTCTGTGAGACGGAGACCGAGGTGGGATCATGATGCCTTTTGCCTGGAGCAGAGGTGTAGGGATACCCCGATTGACAAGAAGTCTGACTGGAGGTGGGTTTGTAGGTGGTTTTGGGATGTTGAGCGTTGGTGGTTGGTTCTGATTCTGGTTTTGCAAAGAAAGTGACAAGGAAGAAACGCCAGGAACAGGAGAGGTGGGCGACCGAGGAGCAACTTGATCCAACGATGGTGAGTTTTCTCGTTCCTGCTCCAGCTCCTGCTGCTGTCGCTTCTTTAACTGAAACGCCATCTCCGAAAGCAATCGACCTTGGTTCTCGCGTACTTTGAGCTGTGATTTAGTCGTATCATAATAGGTCTCGATCGCCAGTTCCTGCAACGGTGCCGGACCATCTTCAAGCTGAACCTCCTGGTACGATGACTCGGTATATGAGGTTTCCGTCCTGACAGAGTCCGAGGGGAAGGCGCCATGACGGTTTTCTACAATGATCTCAGAGTCCACGTCCATCCGATCGTCACTGTAGTCGCGACGATAGCCTCGCTCCGAGATTGATGCCGACTGCCTGAACACATGGCGGTCCTCTACTAGCTCGTCGATGCTATGCTCTGACCTGTATCTTGGCGGATCCAAAGGCCCCATATCATGGCGGTTTCTGTAGTACTCATCTGCGCCTCGATCATAGTCCACGTACTCGACTGGCCCCATGTGTCGTTCCTGATGTTGAGCCTCAAGACCCTCTCTAGTAACATGGGCAGCAGAGACCATATGGCGGTCATACGCCATACCCGGGAGTGGGCGTCCTCCAACCATGTTACCTCCGACCATGCCCATGCCGGCTCCAGCCATGTACGGATGGCCTCCATAGCCAACGGGACCGTGACCAACTCCATCGATTGACACAATCGACCGGTCGTCATAAATCGAAGCAACATCGCCAAGATCGTAGTTCTCCTGCTCATAGATGGAAATGACCGACTGGTCGTCGTAGATCGAGGCAACAGAGTATGGCCGCCCACCTATTCCGCCCATTCCACCACCACCTACAACTCCTCCGACGCCGCGCATACCTACACCGCCGACACCAGCGATGCCGCCAACAGCACCCGGCACAATCGTCTCGTATGTCCCATAGGTGGGAGCAATAACAGGTGCAGGGGCGACCATGGCTGGCACTACGGCTCTTGGTTGAGGTTGATATAAGACTTGAGGTGGTGGAAATTGAGGTGGTGGGGGGGCAACGATTACTGGTGGTGGAGGGGCTACGATTGCTGGTGGCTGAACAATAGGCTGGTAAACTGGGGCGGGGGGTGCTTGGATTATCTGTGCTCGAGGAGGCAGTCTGTAGGCAATGGGCTGAGGTTGAGGTCGGACGAGCATCCGTGGCTGAGGTGGCGGGATCTGCATAATCGGAGCTGGCGCAACCATGGGCGGTGATACGATCATTGGTTGTGGGGCTGGACGTGCTACCATGATGGAGCGTGGTGCTGGTTGGATCACTGCGACAGGTTCCTGAGGGATCGCAACTGCAATAGGTCTAGGCGGTGGCTCGACGATGGCTGTTCTTTGAGGTGGAATGTAGATAACTGGTTCTGGTCCTGATCCGATGATGACGCCCTCCTGTTGAATGTATGGAGGGATGTCGTCGGCTATTCCCCAAGTGATGACACCTTCTGGGGGTTCTTGGCCATCGACATCAATCCACTGACCAGGAACGCGTTGTCGAGGTGGAATTAGGATCGACCCTGAGTCATCGCCCTCCACGACCACTACGCCACCGATTCGGTCGTCCTCCGAGGAATCTCCAAGGACAACTGTTCCATGGATTCCATGGCCGCCGTGAATACCATGAATACCATGAACACCGTGAACTCCATGAACGCCGACGATGCCAATCTCGTCTTCCTCTTCAATCGTCACACGCTCTCTTCGCTCATGAATATGAATCCGCCGGTGGACACCTTCACCCTCACCGTCACCCTCCATAACACCACCCACGACGACCCCGGGCCGTGAAGGTTGTGGGTCAGCGGTTCCAGTAATCGGCATAACCAAAACCGCCGGATCTGTCACATCCACAGATCCAACACCCGCAATAACCTCCGTCGATCCATGGGTATGCCCATCCCCCTCCTTGCCCTTGCGTATCGTAATCTTACCCACAGGGAGAATCTCGAGCCTACCATCCAATCCATCGTCTATCCGGCGCCGGTGGTGATGATCAGGTAAACCAAGGATGGTCCCAGAATCCGAAGAGTCCTCAAAGTCATTGATTCCATCCCCGGTTCGCTCCTCAGCATTGGTCTCACTCTCCTTGATATCCAACTGAACAATGTGGCCCTTTCCGGTGTATCCAGTAGCAGCTTCCAGCTCGGCGGCGGGGCCTTCCTGGTATGGGTGTTCCTCACAGTCCTCGTCGTCGCATATCACTGCCGTGATATCTTTGCGCGAAGAAATGTTGAAACGGAGGGTCGACAGTCCGAGATGGTGTCCTTCAGGCAAATGATCTCCGTAAGGCCCATCCCTTGACTTGGGCTCTTTGAAGTTGAAGCGAAATATATATTAACATTAGAACAATTCTTTGTGAACACAGACGAAGCTACCTTTAACGAAAGTGGTCTCCTTTACGCTGGTATACCTTGATATGGTGTATCGATCGCCGTTGCGTTTTCTGCATCGTCTACTGCCGGCAAAGTTATGTCAAAATGAGGATGAAGACCAGGTTTTGGCACAATATCCACAACGCCCTCCTTAGACGTACTCGTCACGTCGATGCTGCCGTCAACAACAGCTACCTCGCCTACAACAACAGCCACCTCACCTACAACAAGCCGCCCATCCACATCCATCAAGTCGCCGATAATTGACCCATCCTCTGAACGATTAGGTCCAGTGATCTTCAAGCCATGCCGATGCACGGTCTTGGTTTCCCGTACCGTAGCACGCTTGGTTGTCTCTGTGATCCCGATTTTTACTGTTGCGCCTGCACCTGCACCGGATCCAACCTCAACCTTCACATCATCGCCATCCTGCTCGACCCCTTCAAGCTTGACCACATCGACACTGGCTCCGGTCTCGGTTTCTGTCGTCTTGATAGAACTGTCGATCTCTGCTTTGATAGCGTCGTCAAATGTCAACTGCTCCTGTGAATGATCCACTACAACAACCACATCTCTACCCCCGTCCTCCTTTTCATTCCTCTCGCCTTCACCTCCTTCTGCCGCTTCCCCTACTTTTTCGTTCACGTCAACATCCTCTCCCTCAACATCACTGGCACCGCCAATGGCATCCGCCTCGCTACCATCTCCACCATTACCACCACTCCTGCCTTCATCATCGATATCCTCGTCCGACTCATCGTCAACGAAAATCCCAGAATAAATAATACTGTGCCCTCCAGTCCAGGTCCTGCGCCCAGTCCCATTCAGATCCCGACCAGCCTTGAAAGGTCGCCTCCTAGGGGCTCCATATCCAACCGTCAACCCTCCTGCGGCTCCTCCTCCACCAGCAACAGCAGCCGCTCCCGGGATTCCTGAAGCCGCCATCCGCATATTATACGAATTCGTCGTCGATGCTACATCGTGTGTTCCTCGGAAAGCCCACGAGAGTGGAGACTTGATCGGAGTTCCAGAGTCGCTACTGAGTATCGTCTGTGGAGACAAGGCAGTCCGAGCGGGTCCTGCAGAAGGCGACGTAGTGGTCGTGGTAGTAGTAGTAGTAGTACGACCGTAGGCTTTGAGTCGTCGTTGTTCCTGGAAGGCCAACAAAGTCGCCATATCCTGCTCTTCCTCCTCATCCTCGACTCCTTCTTCATCCGAGGTATCGTCATCATCAGAACCAGCAGCTCCAGTCACACGAATTGCTGTCTTCTTGCGATCCACGTTGACCTTGACAAAGACATCCTGATCGTCATCATCGCCCTCATCCTGCTCCTCGTCCAGTTCCTGAACAGCGTCAAACGGAGAATTGCTCATAGTTCCATATGACGTCCCCCGTCGCAAGGCCGTTGTAGGTCGTCCATGAGGATACACGCCATTGCCATTACCATTGACTCCTCCGTTCGTACCACTATGACCATTGCCGTTGAGGTATCGGGATTCTCTCGAGAAAGTAATGCTGTCGTGCAAGAGTGGGTCGTAGGCATAGGCGAGGGTGGCCGACATGGGCGTGTGTGCAGAATAGGAGATCCAATGGAACTGGGTGAGGATGACCGAGACGATATACTGGACAATTAGGGCAGCACTGAGCTCGATTCGGTGCTGGATGATCACATTAATCTGGAACATCATCACCAGGGTCATCAGCTACACAGTCAGTCAGTCAGTCAGTCATGTTTGTAAAAGGAAGTAAAGGAGATTAAAATAGATACACACGTTAGTTTGTACACACTTCCTCGGTTCATGGACATCACAGGATGTTACTGCTTTGAAATAAAAAAAGACAGAAAGGAGTCCATTAGAAAAACGTACCACGCAGGCAAATATGACAGTGGCGTTGTAGTTCCCATGACTATAGCGGGCCGTGAAGGCCATGAGCAAGATACGAATGATAGCCATCATCGTCAATGGCCATGGTATCCTCTCCCAAGTCCAGGTCCACCCCGGCGATCCCCCACCACCACCACCACCTTCCTCGCCTCCAGATCCAGGCGGTACCAATCCAGCCAGGGCCAGAAAAATGACCAGCGCAACCAAGTCAATCCAGTACAACACTCTCGACCGTTGTGCACGCTTCTTCTTGAGTAAGAAATCCTGTCCTGCTGTGCCAAAGTACGACACGCCGTCCTCATCATCGTCCGAAAGGTCGTGGAGATTTGGAGTCGTATTGTCGATGGTGTACAGTGAATTAAAGTCAGACGTTACATCGTGCAGGATGCCCTCGGATGTCGTCGATACCCTTGGTCTGCCCGATCCCCCTGTCCCTATTGCTCCAATTGTTGCTCGTCCCTCTGCCTGTCCCCCTGCAGCAGCCGCAGTGGAAGCATAAAAACTTCGTGTTCCTGCCCCCAAAGACACTGGATAGTCTCCATACCCACCAGCACCATTCAAACCCTGAAAGGAACGACGGTCATAGCTGGAAGGAAGTCCATGAGGGGGGTGATAATAATTCGAAGAGGCGTGGCTATTGGCGCTACTGGGTCCATTGAACGAGTTCTGTAAAAATGAGATCCGAGTCGTTTCGTTAGGACCGAGAAGACTGGAGGTCGAAGTCGAGTGGCGGATGGAAAAGGACGACGTTGAGGAGGGGAAGGATTGGTGGTGTTGATGGATAATTGGTTGGTAGGCAGCAGCGCGGGACGACGGTTGAAACCTGGCTCTGGATCGACCACCACCATTGCTCTCGCTATTGTTGCTGTGTGGCGGAGTAGGCGCGTTGGCGGCCATTATTCTTGAAAGTGGTTGGTTGAACTCTCGGTGCGTTTGTCTTTGCCTTTCTGTTCAGGAAGGAAGAGGGTAGGGGGGATTAAGTGTCGAGTGTTGGTTGTGGAGAAATAGATGCCAGATACTAAACCAAGGTCTGCCAGTGAGGAATATGGTTGACAGGGGGAAAGAGACAGAGAGAGAAATAGAGAGGGTCGGGAGGGGGTGAATTGAGACAGTGTACAAGCGGAGGTCAGTATGAGAAGAAAGATGAAAGAGGGAGTGTGGTTAAAGAAAGGAAGAAGGAAAGAAGAGAAAAGAAAAGAAAAGTGAGCAAGTCGACTGAACGTAGGATGAGGTGACGAGCCCAAAGCACGGACAGGGGACATGACCCATCCGGTCAAGAAAAAAAAACACTGCGTCCAAAGCACGCCACAACAACCATCAGGAGCAGGAACAGAGCAGGAACAGAGCAGGAACAAGGGATAGGGAGATCGTCCACCTGATCCTTCCTCCTTCCTCCTTCCTTCCACAGCGTGCCTTTGTTCAGACTCCAACTACCTGTGTGTGACCCACTCGCCCTCTTCTGTATTTTATTTTGACCATGCCCCTCCTTTTCTACCCCTGTCCTGTGCGATACACCCCCTTTTTTTTGCCATGGTCTTTACCATTCTCCGAGGAGAAGAGGGGGTGTTGTTGTGAACTGCTGACCAAAACAATCAAAAAGAAACAAACAGACAACTACAACTTGGCTTTCCTCTCTTCTTTCTCCTTCCTGGGCACCACCGTTGCGAACCGCAAAAGTTTAAGCTGCTAAAAAAGAGAGTATTAAAGTATATTAAAGGTCTAAGCGGTAGAGTTCTCCGTACAAGAATTTCACAAGGGTATCAAGAGGCCCTACAATGGACACCAAAACAAGGTTTTTTTTAGTATTGGTGGCAATCATAATCACTTTCGATAATCACTTTTTTCAAACCGAAGACTGAAAGGAGACATAGCTCATACCTGGCATCATAAAGCTGCGGCAGTGGCGCTTGTTTGGGGTCGAGTCTTTGAAGATTCGCAGGAAGGTCGTGTCCAAGAATGAGTACAGAGGGTCCTGCATCCTTGCCACCACCGTCTATCAACAATGCAAGTGAATAAAAGAAAAAGGGTTACAAAAGAAGCCCCAACGTTTTTGTGTGGCTGTCAGTCAGAGGGATGAAATACATCTGAAGCAAGCTTACCTTGGTCAGTGCATTCAGAAGGGCGGCTTCCTGATCCTTCAGCTTCCACAAGGCCTTATCGTCAGCACTGACAGCTGCAGACTCGCAGGGACTCCGTTTCACGCTCGTCTGCACCATGACTCGCAGATCTGGATACGTGGACTTGATGTAATCGAGCATGTTGGTCAAAACAATCGTGTACCGCTGTCTCAACATAGTCCTCCGCCTGTCCTGGCTCTCCTTGATCTTGTCCTGTTCGATCTTGGACAACTTTCGATCGCCGCCCTCCAGGTCAAACCGGACGGCGTCCCGTGGATCGTACTCCCAAAACTGACCATTGCTGACCAATACCATGGGTTTCCTTTCGACATCTGGCGCTCTCCATTTCCTCTTTTGACGCAACTTTGCCGACTCCTCAACAATCTCCTTGAGGGTATCGACCCATTCCAGGTTGATCATGTCGTGGTCCAAATCAGACCCCGTAGACATCTCCTCGTCAGTAGACTCTGCGACGTTATGTCCCAATAACTCATCCGGTGAGTTCTCCTCCGACCCCACTAGCCACTTCCACCATTGCGATGCCGATTGTTGAGTTGGTTGTGTAGAGGCAGTTCCCCTGGACTCGTTGTCATGTCGATCAATGCCAGCTGGCTCGCACATTAACGTCGATCCCGCGAGTTTGCAGTCAGGGTGTAGTCCGCCTGCATCCAACGTTGCCAGCTCCTCCACCGATTTCAGCGCATGTTTGGTGGCAGTTTCTGATAACATCCCGGTGTCCCAGAGAACGTCTGAACGAATAAAAGTGATCAGCGTGAGGTTCGACTGCCGCTCAATCAGTTTCATCTGTCCGGGCTTGGCTTTCCTGTACACCATCGACCGGCTCTTGGGTGCTCCCGCCGAACTGTCTGAAGACGACTCGGGTGACGATAGCTTCTCGCCGGACGCAACCTTGAGCTCGATAATAGCAGGCTTTTCTGAATCGATCCAGTAATCCAGCGCCTCGAGTTCCGCTTGCGAACCACGGTTTCCATTGTCCTCCGCCCGGTAGTCGAGCAAAAGCTGCTGCTGCATCCCCATAAGCATGCATTCCAGTGTCAGGAATTCCTGTTCTAAAAACTTGTCACCGATCATCACCAAAGGAGACCGCTTCAAAACCTCTACAAAGTCTGCCAAGCCCATATCCGGCTGTCGACACTTGGGCTCCTGCTTGTGCTTTGGACCAGAGTGGTCCATCAACCAATGGTACTGTTGTAGGCGGTCGGCATATGCCCAGTCCTTGGATAGGTGTGGACTAGAAGTCGTAGATGGCGACTCGGACTCTGGCACGGCTGCGGGTGTCAAAAGATACCGCTCGTTCCAAATGGTCGATCTACACCCAAGGGGGCCGTATCCAGTCCACGACAAGTCCTGACCAGCATCTGGGGCGGCGGAATGCTTGCCTGCAGCCTTCAAAAACACCCATTGACCCTTGGCAACATCTTGGAGATTACAGATCCTGAGCGAAGAGGGCCCCGCGTCCTGTGGGCGATTACCTCCAGTAATCGTAGTGTCGACAGCAGGTTTGGTAGGTTTCTTCTTTGCTGGTCCATGTGGCTTCTTGCCCCGACCTCTGTCCTTCCGTGGTCCCGAGTCCTGCTCAAGATCGATGATCGGAATATTAGGCTCCTGGTTATGGCTGCTGCTGCTGCTGCTCTCCTCTCCGTTCGATACCGATACAATTGGTGGTGTGATGTCCTTGTAGTGCTGAAACTGGTTCATGAGGTATCCGCCAGAAAAGAGCGTCAACGCCAATGAAACCAAGATGAGACCCAGGAACCAGCCTTTCCGTCCCTTGCTGCTGAGCACTGCCGCAACGAGCTCTGCAATGTATCCTGTGTTCCATCCTCCGGCCACGGCTCGATTGGGCGTCATACCCAGGGGAAGGCGGTCGTAGACTCCTGCTGGCCTCCACCAAGAGGAAGAGCTATGTTTCGGATGGGGACTAGGGATGGGTCGATGAGCATGGGGCATGGCAGGTGATTCATGTCTCCATGGGTTCCAGGGAAGCCTCAGCCAGCTCTTGCGACCGAGTGGTCGTGGTGATGGTGCGGTGAGTCTGTAAGGGGAAGGACTGAGTCCTCTGCCGAGGTCAGTGTTGCATTGAATGCTGCTGCTGCTGTTGTTGTTGTTGTTGTTGATGTTGATGTTGTTGGTGTTGCTCTCACTTGGTCGCCTTGCATGGCCAAAGTCGTCGTCGTCGTGGTCGATGTGATGAGCAAGACGCTGTTCGACTTGGCTGCCAAAGATGCCCTCCTGGGTATCGATGGATATGCCCATTGGGGTTTGTATGTGTCTGTGTCTGTGTTGGTTGTTGCTTTTGTTATTGTTGTTGTTGTTCCTGTTTGACAGTAGTTGGTGCTGCTTGAGTTTGGAGTTGGTTCCAAACTTCGACAGCAAAAAAAAAAAAGCAAGCTCTTCTTGTTCCCACATGTTCGGTGTGACTTCTAAGGCATTAGCAGTTCAAGCACCAAATTGCATTCCCACATTCGATAGATTGAATAAAGTACATGTTGAAAAAGAAAACTACACTAAAATATGAAGGAGAATGGAACGCTAGCCGACTCATGGTTTCTTGAACAAAAAGTGGGCGCTGGTATCATGCGGTGGGCTGTAGCCCGATCGCTGGTGCGGGTAGTCGTAGTACGGATCGTGCTGCGCGAGATCCGGACAGTTCTTGGGCGGGAACTTGTTGATCGTAGCAATCAACTCGTTCACACGAAGTGGTTTGGTAATATATTCGTCCTATTCACATACATTATCAGAAAGAAAACAGTGGACGGTTAGCACAAAGTGACTGAAAACAAAACAAAAAAAAGTCAGCAATTGAACAAGGTAAACGACAATAGATCGGTACACGTACCATGCCAGCGGCAAGACACTTCTCTCGGTCGCCAATCATGGCGTGGGCCGTCAGGGCAATAATTGGAAGGCGATCGCTCTTGCCCTTCAATCGTTCCAGTTTCCGGATCTCCTGCGTAGCCTCAAAGCCTCCCATGATAGGCATCTGCACATCCATCAGAATCAGGTCAAAGTGCTTGTTATCAAAGCACTCGACCGCCATCTTGCCGTTCGAGACGATCGTCACCTTGTGACCAAACTTCTCGAGGATACGGACCGCCAGCTTCTGGTTGACGACGTTATCCTCTGCCAACAGAATGTGCAGAGGAATAGCGTGCTCGGCGTCAGAAGGAAGAGCAGACGCAGACTCGAAGGCTGGCAAAAGTGCATTCATCAGATCCGGCAGCTGGACGGGTGGGTTGAAGTAACTGGCAATGCCGAGCTCCTGGCAGACCTTCATGCTGATGTAGGGCGTCGTCATCGACAACAGCACAATGGGCAGGAAACGAAGCATTCCAATCTCCTTGATCTTGCGGATGTCCCTGACATTGTCGACAATCACCACATCAAACATGGACTTTTCCTGGGTGACGCCAGATCCAGACTGGGGACCCAGTTCGGCAGCTTGCTCCAGAGAACTGACGTGGGTAGCCTTGAAGCGGAGCTCCTCCAATGTCCTCATCACAGACTGGGAGATCACATCGTCGCGCATCGTGCCCATGTAGAGGATATGGCGTCCAGAGTAGGGCTTGGTCTTGAGGTTGATCTGGTCCACCGACATGGTGCCAGTGTTGAATCGAACCGTGAAGAAGAACTGGGATCCCTTTCCAAAAGTACTGTTCACCCAGAGGTCTCCTCCCATCAGAGTCACCAGACGCTTCGAGATCGACAAACCAAGACCAGTTCCACCGTACTTGCGCGTCGTAGAACCATCGGCCTGGCAGAAGGTGTCAAAGACAACTTCAATCTTGTCGCTCTGGATACCGATACCAGTGTCCGAAACACAGAACTGCAGCTCGACACCGACATCTGTCTTGTTCTTGCAAACGCAGTCGAGGACAACACTTCCTTCCGTCGTGAACTTGATGGCGTTTCCGATAAGGTTCGTAATGACTTGGCGAAGTCTGAGAGGGTCTCCGACGAGCTGGTCTGGGAAGTCGTTGTGCACGTTGTAAATGAGATCCAGTTTCTTCTGATGGGCCTTCACCGCGAGCGTCCTCAGGACGCCAAAGGCTTGGGTTCTGAGCGAGAAGGGCGCCTGCTCAATTGTCATCTTTCCGGCCTCGACTAGAAAATACCAGATAATAAGAGGCACAAAATACATTAGTTCAACAATCCATCCCACGACCCTTCAAGGCTCTGACATCCATTCAATTTCACTTACTCTTGGAGATATCAAGAATGTCGTCGATAATAGTCAAAAGCGAGTGTGCGAGGTTGCTGACAATCACCAAGTTCTCGCGCTGCTGACGGGTGAGCTCCGATTCTAGCGTCAAACTCGTCATTCCGATAATACCATTCATAGGAGTGCTAGCATAATGAAATAAAGAATGAAAGTGTCAGTTCAATGCGAACTTCAAAGTACATTAACACCAAATCATGAAAAGGCGTCAAACAAGGCATGAATCAACTTACCGAATCTCGTGAGACATGTTAGCCAAGAACTCTGACTTGGACCGGTTGGCCAACTCAGCAGCTTCACGAGCCGCCGTGTTCTTTTGGATACTCTCGCGCAGGTTGTACACCATCTGGTTGATCTTGGTCTTGAGAGAGTCCATCTCTCCGGAAGCCTCAACTGTGATGAACTGGGTGAAGTCTCCGTCCGTAGCTGCAGTAGAGATGGAAGCAAAGGCTCGCACCTGGGCTGTCAAGTTAGAGGCCATGGTGTTGACATTCGAGGTAATCTCTTTCCAATTTCCACGGACATCGCGGACCTGGGCCTGCACTCCAAGCTTTCCTTCGGTTCCAACCTCACGAGCGACACGCGTCACCTCATTAGCGAATGTAGAGAGTTGATCCACCATGGAGTTAATAGTGTTCTTCAGGTCCAAAATCTCTCCCTTGGCGTTGACTGTAATCTTCTTGCTAAGGTCTCCACAAGCGACGGCGGTGGTAACTTCGGCAATTGATCGGACTTGGGTGGTAAGATTGGCGGCCATGGTGTTCACGTTTCCGGTGAGCTCCTTCCACACACCATCCACACCCTTGACTTGGGCCTGTCCACCAAGACGACCCTCGGTACCGACCTCGCGAGCGACACGCGTGACCTCGGCGGCAAAGGTACGAAGCTGTTCCACCATCGAGTTGACAGTCTTCTTCACCTCCGAGATCTCTCCTTGGGCCTCGACATCAATGGTCTTACTCAGATCTCCAAAGGCGACGGCGGTGGTGACCTCAGCAATCGAACGCACTTGAGTGGTCAGGTTGGACGCCATGGTGTTGACGTTGTCTGTGAGTTCCTTCCAGGTGCCGCTAACATCCTTGACCACAGCCTGTCCTCCGAGCTTGCCTTCAGTTCCGACCTCCAGACTGACACGCGTGACCTCGGTGGCAAACTCCTGAAGCTGGTCGACCATGGTATTGATGGTATCTTTGAGGTCCATCATCTCTCCCTTGACCTCGACGCAAACCTTCTTGGACAAGTCTCCCTTGGCGACAGCCTTACTGACACTGGCTATATCTCGGACCTGGGCTGTGAGATTGGCGGCCATGGTATTGACGTTGTCGGTAAGCTCCTTCCAGGTGCCATCGACTCCCTTGACTACAGCCTGCCCACCAAGACGACCCTCAGTTCCAACCTCACGGGCGACACGCGTGACCTCGGCGGCGAACATTCGCAGCTGCTCCACCATGGAGTTGACAGTAAGCTTGAGCTCCGAAATCTCTCCTTGGGCCTCCACATCAATGGTCTTGCTCAGGTCTCCACAAGCGACGGCGGTGGTGACCTCAGCAATCGATCGCACTTGAGTGGTCAGGTTCGAGGCCATGGTGTTGACGTTGTCTGTGAGTTCCTTCCAGGTACCGCTGACATCTTTGACTACAGCCTGTCCTCCGAGTTTGCCTTCGGTACCGACCTCCAAACTCACGCGAGACACCTCGGTGGCAAACTCCTGAAGCTGGTCGACCATGGTATTGATGGTATCTTTGAGGTCCATCATCTCACCCTTGACCTCGACGGAAACCTTCTTGGACAAGTCTCCCTTGGCGACAGCCTTACTGACACTGGCTATGTCTCGCACCTGAGCGGTCAGGTTTTCCGCCATGGTGTTGACATTGTCTGTGAGCTCCTTCCAGGTGCCGTCGACGCCCTTGACATGGGCCTGTCCACCAAGTTTGCCCTCGGTACCGACCTCACGAGCGACACGCGTGACCTCGGCGGCGAACGTCCTCAGCTGCTCCACCATCGAGTTGACAGTCTTCTTGAGCTCGGAAATCTCACCCTGCGCCTCGACATCAATGGTCTTACTCAGATCTCCAAAGGCGACGGCGGTGGTGACCTCAGCAATCGAACGCACTTGAGTGGTCAGGTTCGAGGCCATGGTATTGACGTTGTCTGTGAGTTCCTTCCAGGTGCCGCTGACATCCTTGACCACAGCTTGTCCTCCGAGCTTGCCTTCGGTACCGACCTCCAAACTCACGCGAGACACCTCGGTGGCAAACTCCTGAAGCTGGTCGACCATGGTATTGATGGTATCTTTGAGGTCCATCATCTCACCCTTGACCTCGACGGAAACCTTCTTGGACAAATCTCCCTTGGCAACGGCCTTACTGACACTGGCTATATCTCGGACCTGGGCTGTGAGATTGGCGGCCATGGTGTTGACATTGTCTGTGAGCTCCTTCCAGGTACCATCGACTCCCTTGACTTCGGCCTGCCCACCAAGACGACCCTCGGTTCCAACCTCACGAGCGACACGCGTGACCTCGGCGGCGAACATTCGCAGCTGCTCCACCATGGAGTTGACAGTAAGCTTGAGCTCCGAAATCTCTCCTTGGGCCTCCACATCGATGGTCTTGCTCAGGTCTCCACAAGCGACGGCGGTGGTAACCTCGGCAATCGATCGGACTTGGGTGGTAAGATTGGCAGCCATGGTATTTACGTTTCCGGTCAGCTCCTTCCACACACCGTCCACACCCTTGACTTGGGCCTGTCCGCCGAGTTTTCCCTCGGTGCCGACCTCACGGGCGACACGGGTAACCTCGGCAGCAAAGGTACGAAGCTGTTCCACCATTGAGTTCACGGTCTTCTTCACCTCCGAGATCTCTCCTTGGGCCTCAACATCAATAGTCTTGCTGAGATCTCCGCAAGCGACGGCAGTGGTGACGCTGGCAATATCTCGGACCTGGGCCGTAAGGTTGGCGGCCATGGTGTTGACATTGTCTGTGAGCTCCTTCCACGTACCATCAACACCCTTCACTTCGGCCTGGCCACCCAGTCGACCTTCGGTTCCGACTTCACGAGCGACACGGGACACCTCGGTGGCGAACTCCTGCAGTTGATCCACCATGGTGTTGATGGTGTGCTTGAGGTCCATCATCTCTCCTTTGACTTCGACAGAGATCTTCTTGGACAAGTCTCCCTTGGCGACGGCCTTACTGACACTGGCTATGTCTCGCACCTGAGCGGTCAGGTTTTCCGCCATGGTATTGACGTTGTCTGTGAGCTCCTTCCAGGTACCGTCGACGCCCTTGACATGGGCCTGTCCACCAAGTTTGCCCTCGGTACCGACCTCACGGGCGACACGCGTGACCTCGGCGGCAAAGGTACGAAGCTGCTCCACCATCGAGTTGACAGTCTTCTTGAGCTCGGAAATCTCACCCTGCGCCTCGACATCAATGGTCTTACTCAGATCTCCAAAGGCGACGGCGGTGGTGACCTCAGCAATCGATCGCACTTGAGTGGTCAGGTTCGAGGCCATGGTATTGACGTTGTCTGTGAGTTCCTTCCAGGTGCCGCTGACATCCTTGACCACAGCTTGTCCTCCGAGTTTGCCTTCGGTACCGACCTCCAAACTCACGCGAGACACCTCGGTGGCAAACTCCTGAAGCTGGTCGACCATGGTATTGATGGTATCTTTGAGGTCCATCATCTCTCCCTTGACCTCGACGCAAACCTTCTTGGACAAGTCTCCCTTGGCGACGGCCTTACTGACACTGGCTATGTCTCGCACCTGAGCGGTCAGGTTCTCCGCCATGGTGTTGACGTTGTCTGTGAGCTCCTTCCAGGTGCCGTCGACGCCCTTGACATGGGCCTGTCCGCCAAGCTTACCCTCGGTACCGACTTCACGGGCGACACGCGTGACTTCAGCAGCAAAGGTACGAAGCTGCTCGACCATGGAGTTGACAGTAAGCTTGAGCTCCGAAATCTCTCCTTGGGCCTCCACATCGATGGTCTTGCTGAGATCTCCGCAAGCGACGGCAGTGGTAACCTCTGCAATCGATCGGACTTGGGTAGTAAGGTTGGCGGCCATGGTATTGACGTTTCCGGTCAGCTCCTTCCACACACCATCGACGTTGCGCACATTAGCTTGACCGCCAAGTTTACCCTCAGTTCCGACCTCACGAGCGACACGGGTGACCTCGGCAGCGAAGGTACGGAGTTGCTCCACCATAGAGTTCACAGTAATCTTGACCTCCGAAATCTCACCCTGGGCCTGGACGTCGATGGTCTTACTGAGGTCTCCGCAGGCGACAGCAGTGGTGACCTCAGCAATCGATCGGACCTGAGTGGTGAGGTTGGACGCCATGGTGTTGACGTTGTCTGTGAGTTCCTTCCAGGTACCGCTGACATCTTTGACTACAGCCTGTCCTCCGAGTTTGCCTTCGGTACCGACTTCCAGACTCACACGGGACACCTCGGTAGCGAACTCTTGCAACTGGTCGACCATGGTGTTGATGGTGTGCTTGAGGTCCATCATCTCACCCTTAACCTCGACGGAGATCTTCTTGGACAGGTCTCCCTTGGCAACAGCCTTACTCACGTCAGCGATATCTCTGACTTGAGTCGTAAGATTCGAGGCCATGGTGTTGACATTGTCGGTCAACTCCTTCCAAGTGCCTCCGACATCCTCTACCTCGGCTTGGCCTCCCAACTTTCCTTCCGTACCGACCTCACGAGCGACACGGGTGACCTCTGCTGAGAATGTCGACAACTGGTCCACCTATTATGAGAGACATGTACATCGGTTAAACGTCTGACAAATGCATCAAAACATTGTAGGAGCCTTGGATGGGTAACGAGAGACAACACTTACCATTCTGTTAATGGTGTTCTTCAAGTCCAGAATCTCACCCTTGGCGTCGACAGAGATCTTCTGGGTCAAATCTCCCTTGGCGACAGCCTTACTAACATCGGCGATATCTCTCATCTGAGTTGTCAAGTTAGATGCCATGGTGTTGACGTTGTCTGTGAGCTCTCTCCAGGTACCGCCCACATCTTCAACCTCTGCTTGACCTCCCAATCGACCCTCAGTGCCGACCTCGCGGGCGACACGAGTGACCTCGGCAGCGAATGTGGAGAGTTGATCCACCATGGAGTTAATAGTGTTCTTCAGGTCCAAAATCTCACCCTTGACGCTGACTGTAATCTTCTTGGTGAGATCTCCCTTGGCAACGGCTTTGCTGACATCGGCGATATCTCTCATCTGGGTCGTAAGATTCGAGGCCATCGTGTTGACGTTTTCGGTGAGTTCTCTCCAGGTACCGCCCACATCTTCAACCTCAGCTTGACCTCCCAATCGACCTTCAGTTCCGACCTCACGGGCGACACGCGTGACCTCGGCGGCGAAAGTACGCAGCTGTTCCACCATCGAGTTCACGGTCTTCTTCAGCTCCGAGATCTCTCCTTGGGCCTCGACATCGATGGTCTTGCTCAGGTCTCCACAGGCGACGGCGGTGGTGACCTCGGCAATCGATCGGACTTGGGTGGTAAGATTGGCAGCCATGGTATTGACGTTTCCGGTGAGCTCCTTCCACACACCGTCCACTCCCTTGACTTGGGCCTGTCCGCCGAGCTTGCCCTCGGTACCGACCTCGCGAGCGACACGAGTAACCTCAGCGGCGAAAGTACGAAGTTGTTCCACCATGGAGTTGACAGTCTTCTTGAGCTCGGAAATCTCACCCTGCGCCTCGACATCGATGGTCTTACTAAGGTCTCCGCAAGCGACAGCGGTGGTGACCTCAGCAATCGATCGCACCTGGGTTGTCAGGTTGGACGCCATGGTGTTGACGTTGTCTGTGAGCTCTTTCCAGGTGCCGCTGACGTCTCGCACCTCCGCTTGACCACCGAGTTTGCCCTCGGTACCGACTTCCAGACTCACGCGAGACACCTCGGTGGCAAACTCCTGCAGCTGGTCGACCATGATGTTAATGGTGTGCTTGAGGTCCATCATCTCTCCCTTGACCTCGACGGAAATCTTCTTGGACAAGTCTCCTCGAGCCACGGCTTTACTGACACTGGCGATATCTCGGACCTGGGCTGTAAGGTTGGCTGCCATGGTGTTGACATTGTCTGTGAGCTCCTTCCAGGTACCATCGACTCCCTTGACTTCGGCCTGCCCACCAAGACGACCCTCGGTTCCAACCTCACGAGCGACACGCGTGACCTCGGCGGCGAACATTCGCAGCTGCTCCACCATGGAGTTGACAGTAAGCTTGAGCTCCGAAATCTCTCCTTGGGCCTCCACATCGATGGTCTTGCTCAGGTCTCCACAGGCGACGGCGGTGGTAACCTCGGCAATCGATCGAACTTGTGTGGTAAGATTGGCGGCCATGGTATTGACGTTTCCGGTGAGCTCCTTCCACACACCGTCCACTCCCTTGACTTGGGCCTGTCCGCCGAGTTTTCCCTCGGTACCGACCTCGCGAGCGACACGAGTAACCTCAGCGGCGAAAGTACGAAGTTGTTCCACCATGGAGTTGACAGTCTTCTTGAGCTCGGAAATCTCACCCTGCGCCTCGACATCAATGGTCTTACTCAGATCTCCAAAGGCGACGGCGGTGGTGACCTCAGCAATCGAACGCACTTGAGTGGTCAGGTTCGAGGCCATGGTATTGACGTTGTCTGTGAGTTCCTTCCAGGTGCCGCTGACATCCTTGACCACAGCTTGTCCTCCGAGCTTGCCTTCGGTACCGACCTCCAAACTCACGCGAGACACCTCGGTGGCAAACTCCTGAAGCTGGTCGACCATGGTATTGATGGTATCTTTGAGGTCCATCATCTCACCCTTGACCTCGACGGAAACCTTCTTGGACAAATCTCCCTTGGCGACGGCCTTACTGACACTGGCTATATCTCGGACCTGGGCTGTGAGATTGGCGGCCATGGTATTGACGTTGTCGGTAAGTTCTTTCCAGGTGCCGTCGACGCCCTTGACATGGGCCTGTCCGCCAAGCTTGCCTTCGGTACCGACTTCACGGGCGACACGCGTGACTTCAGCAGCAAAGGTACGAAGCTGTTCGACCATGGAGTTGACAGTAAGCTTCACCTCTGAGATCTCGCCCTGCGCTTGGACGTCAATGGTTTTACTGAGATCTCCGCAAGCGACGGCAGTGGTGACCTCGGCAATCGATCGCACCTGGGTTGTCAGGTTGGACGCCATGGTGTTGACGTTGTCTGTGAGTTCTTTCCAGGTACCGCTGACATCTTTGACTACAGCCTGTCCTCCGAGTTTGCCTTCGGTACCGACTTCCAAACTGACTCGAGAGACTTCGGTAGCGAATTCCTGCAGCTGGTCGACCATAATGTTAATGGTGTGCTTGAGGTCCATCATCTCACCCTTGACCTCGACGGAAATCTTCTTGGACAAGTCTCCTCGAGCCACGGCTTTACTGACACTGGCGATATCTCGGACCTGGGCTGTAAGGTTGGCGGCCATGGTGTTGACATTGTCTGTGAGCTCCTTCCAGGTGCCGTCGACGCCCTTGACATGGGCCTGTCCACCAAGCTTACCCTCGGTACCGACCTCACGGGCGACACGCGTGACTTCAGCGGCAAAGGTTCGAAGCTGTTCCACCATTGAGTTCACGGTCTTCTTCACCTCCGAGATCTCTCCTTGGGCCTCAACATCAATAGTCTTGCTGAGATCTCCACAAGCGACGGCAGTGGTGACGCTGGCAATATCTCGGACCTGGGCCGTAAGGTTGGCGGCCATGGTGTTGACATTGTCTGTGAGCTCCTTCCACGTACCATCAACACCCTTCACTTCGGCCTGGCCACCCAGTCGACCTTCGGTTCCGACTTCACGAGCGACACGGGACACCTCGGTGGCGAACTCCTGCAGTTGATCCACCATGGTGTTGATGGTGTGCTTGAGGTCCATCATCTCTCCTTTGACTTCGACAGAGATCTTCTTGGACAAGTCTCCCTTGGCGACGGCCTTACTGACACTGGCTATGTCTCGCACCTGAGCGGTCAGGTTTTCCGCCATGGTATTGACATTGTCTGTGAGCTCCTTCCAGGTACCGTCGACGCCCTCGACCTCGGCCTGACCGCCAAGTTTTCCTTCTGTTCCGACCTCGCGGGCGACACGAGTGACTTCGGCAGCAAAGGTACGCAACTGGTCCACCATAGTGTTCATTGTCTCCTTGAGCTCCAAAATCTCTCCTTGGACAGGGACGCTGACCTTCTTGGTGAGATCTCCGCAAGCGACGGCCTTACAGACGGTAGCAATGTCTCTCACCTGTGCTGTCAGGTTCTCAGCCATCAGGTTGACGTTGTCAGTCAGTTCCTTCCATGTTCCACTGACATCCTTGACGTGCGCCTGACCACCCAGTTTGCCCTCGGTTCCGACTTCCAAACTGACCCGAGATACCTCGGTGGCGAATTCCTGAAGCTGATCCACCATGGTGTTGATAGTGTTCTTGAGGTCCATCATCTCACCCTTGACCTCGACAGAAATCTTTTTCGACAAGTCTCCTCGAGCAACGGCCTTGCTGACACTGGCGATGTCTCGAACCTGTGCCGTCAGGTTTTCAGCCATAGTGTTGACGTTGTCCGTGAGTTCCTTCCAGGTACCATCGACGCCCTTGACGTGGGCCTGACCGCCCAATTTTCCTTCTGTTCCGACCTCGTGAGCGACTCGAGTGACCTCGGAAGAGAATGAACGGAGCTGGTCCACTACAAGTTTGTAACCGTAGCCAGTATGTTGATGAAAGAGTGACATGGCGGTGGTTTGTTTATAATGACGACAAGGAGGATATTCCAAGGAATATTGTGAAAAAGGAAGGAATGGGATAGTAAGCAAAAGCAGTAATTATTCAAGTGCAGCAAAAAAAAGATGACACCAAATAATAACCAGCGACGACTCCCTCGCCTTGGTTGAGAATCCAGACTTACCCATTGTGTTGATGGTGTTCTTCAGGACCAGGGTCTCGCCCTTGACAGCAACTGTGATCTTTTGGCTGAGATCGCCATGGGCGACGGCGGTACAAACAGAGGCAATATCTCGCACTTGCTCTGAATGGCTGACAGTCATGGTATTGAGATGGTTGACAAACTCTCTCCAGATGCCTCGTTCGTCCTCCATCTTGGCTTGGACACCCAGTCTACCCTCGACTCCCTGGGCAGCCACCTGGATGACCTCTGCTGTAAAGTTGGATAGTTTGGCGACCATTTCGTTGACAGACATGAATAAGTTTGATTGTTGGCAGATGAGGTTGGTGCAGTGTATCCGGACACTGAGGTCACCTTTGACTACTGCTGCAGCAACTTGAGCGCAGTTGTGGATGCATTGAGCGCAGGGCATCGCCTCTGTTGGGGTGGTGGCAGCTGCTGTTGTGGTTGTTGCTGGTGCTGTTGTTGATGCTGTTGTCGTTGATCTGGTAGCCATGACTGCGGGTGTTGCGGAGGTATCGGAGGTGGAAGCTGGTGTTGCGAAGGTTGTTGTAGGTAGGGACAATGGAAGTGTTGATAGAACATAGAGAGTGCGAGAAAGAGAGAAAGGAGGGTTGAACGAAGAAAGAAGATGAGAAAAAAGAGGTTAGTCAATGGATCCCATAAGCGCTAAGGGTACAAACTAGATAATAACAGTAGAAGAAAGCATTAATGAGTGAGGAGGAGAGGGATGGATAGATGAACGAACCTGGGATATGACCATTAAGGCAAACGGCGACCTTCTCGGAGGCATTGGAGGAGTGAGATGCAGCGAGGGATGCGCCAAGGGTTGGGGGAGTAAGGGTGCCGGATACGAGCTCAGGCACGAGGGTATCAATGGATGACGGGGGAGGCGAGCACTTGGTGGGCAGAGTCCTCTCGGTGAGGACGCTTGTGTAGGTTGCAGTGTGGTTGACAAACTCCCAATTGCCGTCGGCCCAGCGGGAGGAGGCCGAAGGGGGCTGGGAGAGCGAGTCGACGGGGGGAGTGAGGATAGGAGGGGCGAGGGTGATGTCTGGGGTGATTGTGGTGCCAGGATGCATTGCCTTGAAGTGCTTCCTGTGCCAGGCTAGCTCCTGCTCCATCTTGAACATCTTTTGAACGAGGCTCTGGAGAGTGGCATCGACGCCGTGAATATACTGCGGCGTGGAGGCATCGACGAACTCGAGTGGGAGGGGGTTGGGAGAGGAGAAGGAGTGTGATTCGGTGTCGAGATCTTTGTCGTGGAGAAGGAGGTCGAGGACATTGCCGACATGACAGATGTAGGCCTCTGTCAGAGTGGCCATTGTAGCGTGGCCTTTTGCTGTCTGTAATAGGGCGCTTGTTGTGGTTGCTGCTGTTACTATTATTGCTCTATGGTCGCCGTGTGGTTATAGTGGCAATAGTCGTCGTTGTCCTTGTTTTTGGACCTTCAAAGTGGGGGTGTATAATCGTGTAGTTGTGGAAAGTGGGACGGACTATGTAAAGAGAGCAAGAAGAGTGAACAGGACGAGTGTGGCGGATGTGTAAGGAAGTGTGAAGTGGTTTGTGTGAGAAGTGTGAGCACAGAGGTATGCTGTTTGTGTCCCTTGCGTGTTCCAGTTGTGTGTTTTGAGTGAGGCTTTGCTGGAGGGTTGATGAGTTTTGTTGTTGTTCTGTTGTTTGATTGATTGTTTGATGGGAACAACAGAATGCAGCGTGCCTGAAAGGAGAGTGATGAGATGGAGAGACGGATCTGGTCTAAAGTAGGGTGGAGGAGAGAATAAAGGAGGAGAGGAAGACCAAGACAAAAGAGAGCAGGGCAAGACAAGTAAGTCTAGGAAGAGAGTAAAAGGAAAGGAGGGAAGAAAAGGAAGAAAGGAATAAATACAAAAGAAGAAAGAAAAAACAAGGGGAATAGTGACGAACGTGAGAGGGGAGGGTCGAAAGGGGGTTTGAGGCAGGGGGGGTGGGTTGGGGGGGGGGGAGAAGAGGAGGGGAGGAGGAAGAAGAAGAAGGCACGGGGAGGAGAAGAGGTAGTGAACAAAGAGAGAAGGGGAGGAGGAAAAAGAAGAAGAAGAAGAAGAAGAGAAGAAGAAAGAATGAGCAAGGTGAACAACAATGCGAAGTAGAAACAAACAATAACAACATGCTAACAAAAGGAGGAGAGAAAATATATAATAGAGAGACACCAGTAGATGATGCACCCAAGGAAACCAACGACTCCAGGGCAGCAACAACTACAACGACCGCAAACTGTTGAATGAAAGGGACTTCTCCTGGCTTCTTCTTGCTCTTATCAGCCAGGAACAGGAAGAAAGACTACTCATGCGTTCACCCATTCATTCAAGTCCATTCAACTTCATTGGCTGCTCACTTAGCAGATCACTAATGAAGGTCCTCTTAGGCTCACACACTGGTTCACACTGGTTCCTCTTCTCTGTTACAAAATATGCTACTGGCTCCCTGTCCAATTCACACCCACATCTGTGTCTCGCTCTACTCCATCCTATCACCCCCTGTCGGCCTCCTTTGCACATATGGCTTGCACCCTCCTCCTCCTCCTCCTCCCCATTTTGGATACACCTGGACACATCCTCTATGCTCATGCCGCCTTTTCTTCCTCCATTACCATCATCCCATCCTATCCTGTGTGTTAAAAAAGAGTCCAGGCTCCAGACCTTATTTTTTACTTCTTTTACCCTCTCCGCGCAGCAGAAACAATAACAAGATCGCCATCAGTCCTCTGCATGGCTGCAAGCAGGAAGAAGAGAGCTTGATAGCAATGCATGCCGATAACAACCTAACAACCTTCCACAAGTGTCAAATACTATTCGATGCTCAGACATGAATGAATCCGTTCACAAATGTGCAGATGTATCTCTCTCACAAAGTGTTTCGACAATAAACCCCCTCGTTTTTGTATTATTGCATGGGCGCGATGGAGCACAATGGGTCACAATGGATGATCTTCAAAGATGAACAGGGGGGCTCTTTTCTCTTCGTCGTCTCTCAAAGTGATTTGCCATACCGTACACCCAACCATAGATGAATGTTGCTGAGCAACTGTTTCTATTACTTTTTCGTATTGTTTCCTGTTCGTTTACCCCTTTGTACTTCTCCCGAGTCCGCATATTTTTTTTTTCGTTGCCTTTTCTTGCCTTGTTTGTGTCCCGCCCTTCTTGGTCCCTGCTCAACCATCTTCACCCCTTTCCCTTCCCTTCCCACCACGGTCAATCTGCATCTTTGTTCTGATTCTCAGAGTAAATAAAACTCTACTAATCCACATGCCATCGTCCACATGCCATCGTCCACATGCCATCGTTTATTCATACCATGGTCTTTCTCTCGGCCCTTTCCTGTTCATCTTTCTTCACTTCTTGTCGTGCCTTTTTTGTTCTCTCTTTTTTCGACTTGTGTGTCTGCTCATCACCACCTCCTCTCTCTTCCTCTTTTACTTCTTTCATCCTTCCTCCCTGTTCCTCCTCCTCAAACATCTTCATTTCCCTTTTGAACACGCACGCCGCACGAGCACACACTCATACACACAAAAGGCAAAAAAAAATGCTATGCTGCAATGCGATGCACTGCACTGACGGACAGGAGGAGGAGGGAGGAGCTTTCTTTTCTTTTTTTGCGTGTGTTCTGATGACCCACCATCTCCTCGACTTGTCTCGTATGTCTTCTTGATCTTCTTGATAGATTCCAGACCCATGTCGATGCTTTTGCAAAGGAAAAAAAAAAGAGGACATCCCAAAACGTCAATGCTTGACCCTTTTTGCTTTTCATTTTTGTGCTTTTGCTTGATTCTGAGTGTTGATTGTGTGTGCATTGTCAACAACAACAACAATAGACATCGACCATGCGCCATTTCGCTCTGCATCTTTCCAAACACTCTTTTTTTTTTTTTTTTTTTTCTTCGCAAGCTTGAAAGAAGGAAAGGGGGTAGACAAAAAAAACGACGTACAAGAGAGATAAAAACAAGAATCGAACCACAACCTCAATACAGAAAACAGATGAATATGCCGAGTCAACAAAAAAAAAATATATGCAGAGTTCCCCTAGCTCCCTCCCATCCCATCCTATCCATCCCATCCCATCCGTCTATCCCATGCATGAAACAGAAAAAAAAATCAATAAGCATGCAAGCAAGTGTCAACAAATAGGAAACACTTCTTCCCTCTCTGTCTCCTATCACCCATGACCATGCTCAAAAAAAACTCTTTTTTTTTCACGCTCTCGGTCGCTTACCATTCTACTATTATTTTTGTTTCGCACTGCCTCCTTCTAGACAACATGAGAGAAGAGAAAAAGAAAACTCCCACTGTACCATGGGCATGGCGACATCAATCGATGGCAAACGCCAGCATGTATTTCTTTTTGTGCCTGAAGCTGGGTGAAAGACATTTGTAATACACGGACTCTGAGAGCCAAACACATAAATCAACAAAAACGACGAGTTTGTGCAACCCTAAACAAACAAATCAACAACTAAAGGAGACAGGAAGGCGTCGCCTTGGTCTGATTCAAAGCAACATTCCATCCTCACTCATGACTGAGAAACAAAAAGGTAAAGGGTACGGAGCAATGATGGGGGTACTTTTTTCTTCGTATGAGAGATGTACTGTACAATGCTTGCACACCATGAGGAGGAGAGAATCAAGCATTGATGTAATTGATGTGCAGCAAGGTAGAACGAGAGAGAATGGGAGGGTATGGCTTTTGATTGGACACACCTGTTGTAAGAAGGATTCCCGCGCTTTGGTTAGGGGATAATACAGGAGAAAAGGGGATGAGGAATGAAGTCAACAGGCCGATTTATCCTTTCTAGAAGTCGTTGTTATCGGCGTTATTGACGTTGATATGCGGAGTATGCTGGAAGGTGCAGTTGGTAGAAAGATAGAGACGAAAAGAAAAACAGGATACCAAAATGAAAGTGAAATTGGCAGCCTGTATTTTTCTTGGGTCTGCACTGATTGTTCTCTCCATCTCGTCCTCCTCCTCCTGCTCACCCCCTCGCTCTCTCTTTCCTTCAAGAGTAAGGTCCGAGAACTGAGTGGATGCGCAATTAATGGCGCTAGAAAAGACTAACCACAACATTGGATGCAGCGAAGAAGATAAAGAAAAAAAAGATGCAAAACGAGATGAAAAGAAGGGGTCCTTTTGCTTGTGACAAGAATAAGGCGTCGTCTTTTGTTTATGTTCTTTTTATTACATCGTTTCAACTTGAACAAGTGAAGGTTAGTTCGCATCCTTAGATTAGCTCGACCATGTCTCCAAATACCCAAAGGACCCGTCTTATTGTTCAGTGATGCTTGCAGAGAAGAGGGCCTGTTGTAGGTCGAGCATCGTTCCTCAGTGAGTTTTTGTAGGGCCAGATCCCGAGTTCCCTGGCCAAAACAGAAAGAGCAAGGTGCACAGGCATCATAACGTCAGGGGAGAAGGGGCAGGAGGGTGTGGGGTCAATGAAAAGGGGAGTGTGGGAACCAGAATGGATCGTGGATAGACCGACAGATGCCCCTCTCACTTTTCTGATCAAGTTTTTGTTCCGAAGGGCGTCGCTTTAGCTCGTGCGTACTCCCTTGAAATGCGTCATAGGGTCACTCTTTTTTCACACTAACACACTAACAAAAAAGAAAGCTAGTGGAGTCGATCTAAGCAAGATATGAGCTTTGTGCTGTTACGATGCTATCGTATCCTCTGGCTGACCCATACCCACCACTCCTTAACTCTTTTGTTTCTTACCGTTCTTGAATGTGGCGTTGGCGTTGCATTTAACTATTGAACTATTGCAGTTGTAGCTGGCCATGTGTGGAAACTGACCACGAAAATGATCGTGGTTTCTGTTTGTTCTTCTCTTTGGCTTGGCGGTAAAAAGGCAACTTTACTCCCGCCAACTAGCAAAGACACTCAGCAAAATGCAATATCTAACGCCGTCGATCAAAGTACAGTGTCAATCCCAGACTGGCGCACCATCTTTGGTAAGAGTACATAAGCGCAGTATGCTTGCCAATATACCTTTTTGCCCCGCACTCTTCTGCCCATGTCCTCGTGCTTCAGATCTTGAGTACTGACTTTTGACCATTGTCTGATCTGTTTCGGTGAGCTACCAACAGGAAAAAAAAGCTAGGATCTTTTGCATCAATACACTACCCTTAAAAAATAAACTCATATCTAGAGCCTCTGTAACGAGAGATACGAATGGGCGCAGCCCTATGTTGATCACCCTTGAAAGTTGAATCAGCAGTGCAACAAACGCTTTTCTCAGTGCAACGAACAAAAGGCGAGGTAGAAAACGGTGAAGAAAATAGTACCGCTACATACTGCA